AGAGTTTACGGTCTAACCAGACACCTAGGTATTTGTAGTTGTCCACATATTCTAAGTCAGAGCCGCCGAGAGTAGTGATTCTAGTCGGGCGGGTGCAAGCACCGTTCAATTGAAGAGCATGCATTTAGTTTTACTAGCGTTTAAGAGCAGTTGGAGGCCACGGAAGGAGTGTTGTATGGCATTGAAGCTCGTTTGGAGGTTTGTTAACACAGTGTCCAATGAAGGGCCAGATGTATACAAAATGGTGTCGTCCTGCAGCTCTGTCGCATGCTGGGTGTGTACATAATCAATGGTAGGCTTCGAGGAGACTCCTATGGTAGGCACACCTATAGCTCATCTCTTGGCAGTAGTCCTGTAGACTACTTTATCACTGACCTCAACCCAGAGTCTCTCAGAGCATTCACAGTCAGTCCACTGACACCCCTATCAGATCACAGCAAAATCACAGTCTACTTGAACAGAGCAATACTCATTCATGAGGCATCATAGCCAAAGGAACTGAATAATATTAAGATATGCTATAGATGGAAGGAAAGTAGTGTAGAAACCTACCAAAAAACAATTAGGCAACAACAAATTCAATCCCTTTTAGACAACTCCCTGGACAAAACGTTCACTGTAATAGTGAAGGTGTAAACTTGGCAGTAGAAAACCTAAACAGTATATTTGACCTCTCAGCTTCTCTATCAAATCTAAAAAATTCTAACAGAAAACCAAACAAAATTAACAACAATGACAAATGGTTAGATGAAGAATGCAAAAACCTAAGAAAGAAATTGAGAAAACTATCCAACCAAAAACATAGAGACCCAGAAAACCTGAGCCTACGCCTTCACTATGGTGAATCACTAAAGCAATACAGAAATACACTACGAAAAAAGAAGGAACAGCACATCAGAAATCAGCTCAATGTAATTGAAGAATCCATAGACTCTAACCACTTCTGGGAAAATTGGAAAACACTAAATAAACAACAACACGAAGAGTTTTCAAACGGAGATGTATGGGTAAACCACTTCTCCAATCATTTTGGCCCTATAACATAGAACAAACAGCAAAAACATATACATGATCAAATACAAATCTTAGAATCAACTATTAAAGACTACCAGAACCCACTGGATTCTCCAATTACACTGAATGAACTACAGGACAAAATACAAACCCTCCAACCCAAAAAGGCCTGTGGTGTTGATTGTATCCTCAATGAAATTATAAAATATAGAGACCACAAATTCAAATTGGCTATACTTAAACTCTTTAACATCGTCCTTAGCTTTGGCATCTTCCCCAATATTTGGAACCAAGGACTGATCACCCCAATCCACAAAAGTGGAGACAAATTTGACCCCAATAACTACCATGGGATATGCGTCAACAGCAACCTTGGGAAAATCCTCTGCATTATCATTAACAGCAGACTCGTACATTTCCTCAGTGAAAACAATGTACTGAGCAAATGTCAAATTGGCTTTTTACCAAATTACCGTACGACAGACCACGTATTCACCCTGCACACCCTAATTGACAAACAAACAAACCAAAACAAAGGCAAAGTCTTCTCATGCTTTGTTGATTTCAAAAAAGCTTTTGACTCAATTTGAGGGTCTGCTATACAAATTGATGGAAAGTGGTGTTGGGGGAAAAATCCATGTACACAAACAACAAGTGTGCGGTTAAAATTGGCAAAAAACACACACATTTCTTTCCACAGGGCCATGGGGTGAGACAGGGATGCAGCTTAAGCCCCACCCTCTTCAACATATATATCAACGAATTGGCGAAGGCACTAGAATCTGAAGTCAAATGTCTACTATTTGCTGATGATCTGGTGCTTCTGTCCCCAACCAAGGAGGGCCTACAGCAGCACCTAGATCTTCTGCACAGATTCTGTCAGAACTGGGCCCTGACAGTAAATCTCAGTAAAACAAAAATAATGGTGTTCCAATAAGGTCCAGTTGCCAGGACCACAAATACAAATTCCATCTAGACACTGTTGCCCTAGAGCACACAAAAAACTATACCTCGGCCTAAACATCAGCGCCACAGGTAACTTCCACAAAGCTGTGAACGATCTGAGAGACAAGGCAAGAAGGGCCTTCTATGCCATCAAAAGGAACATAAAAATCGACATCCCAATGAGGATCTGGCTAAAAATACTTGAATCAGTTGTAGAACCTACTGCCCTTTATGGTTGTGAGGTCTGGGGTCCGCTTACCAACCAAGAATTCAAAAAATGGGACAAACACCAAATTGAGACACTGCATGCAGAATTCTGCAAAAATATCCTCAGTGTACAATGCAAAACACCAAATAATGCATGCAGAGCAGAATTAGGCCGATACCCGTTAACTAGAATGCTATTTGGCCCTAAACAGAGAGTACACAGTGGCAGAATACCTGACCACTGTGACTGACCCAAAATTAAGGAAATCTTTGACTATGTAGAGACTCAGTGAGCATAGTCTTGAAAGGCTGCCGTAGGCAGACCTGGCTCTCAAGAGAAGACAGGCTATGTGCACACTGCCCACAAAATTAGGTGGAAAATGAGCTGCACTTCCTAACTTCCTGCCAAATGTATGACCATATTAAAGACACATACTTCCCTCAGATTGCACAGACCCACAAAGAATTCGAAAACAAATCCAATTTTGATAAACTCCCATATCTATTGGGTGAAATACCACAGTGTGCAACCATAGCAGCAAGATTTGTGACCTGTTGCCACAAGAAAAGGGCAACCAGTGAAGAACAAACACCATTGTAAATGCAACCTATATTTATGTTTATTTATTATCCTTTTTGTACTTTAACTATTTGCACATCATTATAACACTGTATATGGACATAATATGACATTTCAAATTTCTTTATTCTTTTGGAACTTTTGTGAGTGTAACGTTTACTGTTAATTTTTTATTGTTCATTTCACTTTTGTTTATCTATTTCACTTGCTTTGGCAATGTAAACATATGTTTCCCATGCCAATAAAGCCCTTCAATTGAAATTGAATTGAGAGAGAGAGAGAGAGAGAGAGAGAGATAGAAAGAGAGATAGAAAGAGATGGAGAGCGAGAGACGGAGAGAGCGAGGAAGAGATGGAGAGGGTAGTGGTGGGGAAAGAACAGCACAGATGTTTGATTGAGCTCTCCCGCCAGAGAACATTGAGAAGTAGAGCAGGGGAAGTGGAGCATTGTACTAAAGCCAGATTGTTAACTCCTTACGTCCTGCAGCAGACAGAGACAAGGCGAAACCAACAGTGGAATAAGAACACTGTCACTAACCTGAAGCTTCCTCTCCTCTTCCTCTCTCTGCTTCCGCTCCTCTTCTTCATGTTTCCGCTTCAGCTCCATCTCCACTTTCCTGAGGAAGAGTAAGAAAGGCTATTAATGTCTGGTGTCACTGCGATATAAAGATCCTAATCAATACTGTATAAAGACTGGACTTCCTAATCAACACTGTACCATAAGTAATGGAAAGAGCTTCTACTCTACAGCAGCTCCTCAGTACTAGTCAAGGTCAATCAATACTTTATCCATCCTGCTACAAACTTATGAGAGGGAAAGCCAGTTTTACCAATGGCCCCAATAAATAACTTTATCCATCCAGTTAGGATGCTGCTACAGAATAACAGTATGGGAGGGTCAAACAGTGGCATCAATTCATTGGCCCCAATAAATAATCTCTACAGCAACATGCTAGAGCTCGGTCTCTGCGCTTCACAGCATTGTATGGGTTTTGACTGACAGCCGTTCTGAACTTGAGCACAGCTCGCGACAAGAAGTTGCCCCCATCCCTCCTGGTAATTGGTCAATCTTTGAAAAAAATGTGTTGTCTGCATGAGGGAAATGCTGTAAATTAAGATGACTCCATGTATTTTGAAAGATGTGACGTTGAGGATGATAATAAATACTGCTTTGATGTCATACAAGCAAGCCAAACACCTGTGAGTCCAAATGTGCACTTCACATTACTAAATCATAAAACCAACATTTCTGATGTACAGTTACAAGATGACATGTCGTCATATCCTGGGTTGTTCTGAACAAAATGAGCCTATGTTTGTTTGTGTAGAAAATTCGCTGCAGCACACGCACCTGAATGCAATCATGACTCCTTTCTATGCACACCAAAATGTTGATCTGTTTCTCTGAATTGCATTGTGAAAGCCTAGCACTGTAAGATCGTATTGTATAACTTAGCTAGTCAAGTTGGCAATGGAACAAGCTTTCAAATCATGCCCACCTGACCCAGATTGCTATTTTTATAATGGACCGTTTTTGGATTGCATAAACAACAGTAATTGTGTGATGGAGGGGATGCAGGGTTGTGTTCCAAACAAAACAACTAAGTGTGCTTGCTCTAGTTCCTCAACTGCACAGCTAGGAGAGCTAAAAAAAAGCACCTGATAGTTGAAGACTCTTCTTTGAGTCATAAAAGTGCATTGAAATAGCTTAGGAACTGTGCACACTTTGGATAGGTGTGTGGCCACACTAGTTAGTCCTCTCACTTAAACCGTTGTAATTTTTTTGGTCTTATGTTTAAACTGTTCCACAATTTCCAGGAACAGTCCTATCATGTTACTGAATGTATCCAGAGTATTTTCAGATTTCTTTATCAACAAATACGGTGAAAAGCACAGTAAATGTAAATTGCACATAAAATCATAATGTTTGGATTCAGTCTTGTGTCAGGTGAACTGTTGCGTACTCACCTAATCATTTCCCCATGATCTCTAAACTGTTCCCTTTCAATTGCTACCATGGCTATGCATATGCTTTTCATATTTATTTTGTAAAGAAACAATTCAATGTAGCCCTATCCATATTAGGTCAATTCCCACGAATGTAAAAAATGATTAAATTAGGAGCTAGTGACTTGGGACGGATAAAATGAACCATCAGTTAGTCTTCGAGGTTTTACATACACCAATACAAAGAGGGGCAGGACACTAGGCATGACTAACGTGTCTCTCTCTTTTCATCCCTCCATCTCCCCAACTCACAGACGCCTGTCCTCTTTGTCCTGCTTGCGGCGCTGCTCCTCCTCCTCCCTCCTCTTCTTCTCTCTCTCCATCTCCTCCTGGATCTTCTTCAGTCGCTCCTTCTCCTCCTCCTCCTTCTTCTTGTTCTGCATGGCGGTCAGCAGCTCCTCTGACCTGGTCACGAGGGCCTGGTACTCATGGTCCATGTCAATGCGGGTCATTGCTGTGGTCTGAGGGGAGAGGAGAGTAGAATCCCTTAAAAAAGGCTGCAGCCAAAACGCTGGGCTGGCTTAATAATACTGAATTCAATAAAGACTAAGCAAAGACTAACAGTTAATTTATTTCATTTTATATTTCATTCGTTACATGTGTCAAGCCTCGAAATCAAACACAAACAAATGCATGTTGCATATAATTAGGCACGCCTCTCCATTCTTTTGTATGAAATTGCACAAACTCCAAACATACATTGGGCTAGCACTTCGCTCTGGAGCCAGCATCCTTGCTGGCTCGGTCAAAGTGGCTATCAAAGGTTCTAATTAGCCGTATTCAAGTTCGTATTTCTGTTTGCTGCTGTCTCCTACCCTGAGCACTCACACATTCATCCCAATCAGAACCCTACACTTGTGACTGCTGGCATCTACAGAGCTTCCACACACACACAGTGACGTAGGGTTGAATTAGAGACAAATGTGTTACAGCAATGCATTCTTCTGCTGATGAATATTCATACGCATCTGGGGTCAAATGAAACTTTTATCAGAATGCCTTATTCTGCTCCAAAAATGTGTGTCTGGGTTTGATGTGTTCTAACATCTCCCGACCGAGGACAAGGTACATGATCTGTTTTCATAACCCAAACATCAGTTGAATTACATTTTGTCTACCACATCAGACTGAACTCACACTTAGCAAGCACTTAACGGTAGTTTATGTGGCTTAGTCGGTAGAGAATGGCTTTGCAACGCTATGGTCATTGGTTTGATTCCCACTGGGGCCACCCATAAGAAAATGTATGCACTCACTGTTGTAAGCCGCTTTCGATAAAAGTGTCTGCTAAATGGCATATATTAAAGACCCACTACTCCTTAAAGGCCCACTTAAAGGCCCACTACTCCTTAAAGGCCCACTACTCTCTAAAAGGCCCACTACTCTCTAAAAGGCCCACTACTCCTAAAAGGCCCACTACTCTCTAAAAGGCCCACTACTCTCTAAAAGGCCCACTACTCCTTAAAGGCCCACTACTCCTTAAAGGCCCACTACTCCTTAAAGGCCCACTACTCCTTAAAGGCCCTCTACTCCTTAAAGGCCCACTACTCCTAAAAGGCCCACTACTCTCTAAAAGGCCCACTACTCTCTACAATAGTGTCACCTTTAAAGGCTAACAAATAAGTTGGACGCAAAATAATGAAATGTTTACATGGCTTTTTTACAGATCATTAATAGGCTACTACCATAAGCAGGGCCATAACAATGCAAAAGAGAAGTCAAAAGTGAATATACACTGCCCTCCGAGACAAGATGCATATCATCTCAAAATGCAGAACATAACCCGTGGACTGAGGCATCCTATTAAATCCAGCCACCCTCCACTACGATTAAAAAATATCTCCTAGCTTCTAAATAAGCCACGATGCCATCGGGTAGAGAGAGAGGGCCAGACCCAGATATACAGTACCACTGCCAAAACAATATCAGGTCCTGTAAATAAAAAAATAAACCCTGAATCTTTAGAGAAAATTAGAACAATAACTCAAGGGAGTCAAAGCTGCCCCCATTTAAAAGGCTTAGTACCCTTGACTAAGCCAGATGTAATTACACATCTTCTGGCTGGCTGAAGCCTCCTATTAGGTAAAGCTTCCCTCCATCAACCATCACCAAATATTTCACCCTGGGATAAATTCAACATTGTTTTCTGAATGTCAATACGCCAGTGTGTGTGTAGAATCCGCTCAATGTCAAAGACATGAGCTGTGTCTCAAACAGCACCCTATTTCCCTATATAATGCACTATTTTTAACCAGGGCCCATCAAAAGTAGTGCACTATATACTGTAGGGAATAGGGCGCCATTTGGGACACATCTCATGTCTTTGACACTGAGCGGATTCTATACACATGCTGGGGTATTGACATTCAGAAAACAATGTTGAATTTGGAGAACTAATGAATTATTAAATATGGAGGGGAGAAGAGAACACAACATGTCATCGCCCATGTCATACACTTTCATTCATTCACATGCTGGGGTATTGACACTGAAAAACAATGTTGAACGTGGAGAAATAATGAAATACAGTGCGTTTCAAACTTTCTTGATGAAATATACTTTTTGTACTCATAGAAGTCTGGCAAGAGGAAAAAGAAGGGATTGTATAGAAGTTTGACTTAAGAGCATAGAACTAGGAGAGGTTGCAGAATGGAAGGCTGGTGAAATTCACACACACCTTGATCTTGAGCATGGTCGTGTTGATGGCAGCGTCCAGCCCCTGGATCTGCTTGCTCATCTCCTGCTTCCCCTCCTTCAGGCCGGCGATCACCTCGTTGAACTTCTCCATCCTGTTCTTCAGGTTACGCACCTTCACCAGCCCATCGATCCTGTACCCCAACACACACACACAAACATAAAGTACACACACACAATTAGTCAGTTGGGTTTAAACTTGAAGCATTACAGAAACATATGGTACCCCTCCTATTGCCTGTAAGGCTCTGTTGTTTATCAGTACAGATCTCCTGGCGCTTTACAAAGGTAATAAGACAGAGCCATGCGGTATACCAGCAGGTAGCAATGAGACTGTCTCCGTGGCGATGCAGCCATGATGTGCTGTATAAGGAGAAGGAAAGGTGGGAGGGAGAGGAAGGATGAGAGGACACCCACCGCGGTTTGTGCTTCCTCCTGCACAGCCACATGCGCACCGTCTTCTGCATCTTGATGCAGGCACTGGCGCGGTACAGCATCTTATTCCTCACTGAGAGAGAGAGAGCGAGAGAGACAGAGACAGAGATAGAGAGAGAGAGAGAGAGACAGAATGAGACTGACAGCCCAGACATTCACAGACCTGCAGGGACTGGCACAGTAACTCCACAGCCACGGTGGTAATTCACACAGAGAGAGCAGACGGTATGGAAATGTTGCCTCAGTGAGAGGTAGACACAGTCACAGACCGGGTCTACGTCCCAAATGGCACCCTATTCCCTATATAGTGCACTACTTTAAAAGTGCATAGTGAAAATGAGTGCACTATGTATGGAATAGGATGCCATTTGGGACACAGCCCCTCTATGACTGGAGGTGTATACCGGGAGGTAAAATATCATATCTAGAGGGTAGCAGGCTGAGGTGAACTGTCTGCCAACACGGCCCCGCAGCACGTTAGAGTAATGGAGGAAAAAGCTACAGTGGGGAAAAAATGTATTTAGTCAGCCACCAATTGTGCAAGTTCTCCCACTTAAAAAGATGAGAGAGGCCTGTCATTTTCATCATAGGTACACGTCAACTATGACAGACAAAATTAGAAAAAAAAATCCAGAAAATCACATTGTAGAATTTTTAATGAATTTATTTGCAAATTATGGTGGAAAATAAGTATTTGGTCAATAACAAAAGTTTCTCAATACTTTGTTATATACCCTTTGTTGGCAATGACACAGGTCAAACGTTTTCTGTAAGTCTTCACAAGGTTTTCACACACTGTTGCTGGTATTTTGGCCCATTCCTCCATGCAGATCTCCTCTAGAGCAGTGATGTTTTGGGGCTGTCGCTGGGCAACACGGACTTTCAACTCCCTCCAAAGATTTTCTATGGGGTTGAGATCTGGAGACTGGCTAGGCCACTCCAGGACCTTGAAATGCTTCTTACGAAGCCACTCCTTCGTTGCCCGGGCAGTGTGTTTGGGATCATTGTCATGCTGAAAGACCCAGCCACATTTCATCTTCAATGCCCTTGCTGATGGAAGGAGGTTTTCACTCAAAATCTCACGATACATGGCCCCATTCATTCTTTCCTTTACACGGATCAGTCGTCCTGGTCCCTTTGCAGAAAAACAGCCCCAAAGCATGATGTTTCCACCTCCATGCTTCACAGTAGGTATGGTGTTCTTTGGATGCAACTCAGCATTCTTTGTCCTCCAAACACGACGAGTTGAGTTTTTACCAAAAAGTTCTATTTTGGTTTCATCTGACCATATGGCATTCTCCCAATCCTCTTCTGGATCATCCAAATGCACTCTAGCAAACTTCAGACGGGCCTGGACATGTACTGGCTTAAGCAAGGGGACACGTCTGGCACTGCAGGATTTGAGTCCCTGGCGGCGTAGTGTGTTACTGATGGTAGGCTTTGTTACTTTGGTCCCAGCTCTCTGCAGGTCATTCACTAGGTCCCCCCGTGCGGTTCTGGGATTTTTGCTCACCGTTCTTGTGATCATTTTGACTCCACGAGGTGAGATCTTGCGTGGAGCCCCAGATCGAGGGAGATTATCAGTGGTCTTGTATGTCTTCCATTTCCTAATAATTGCTCCCACAGTTGATTTCTTCAAACCAAGCTGCTTACCTATTGCAGATTCAGTCTTCCCAGCCTGGTGCAGGTCTACAATTTTGTTTCTGGTGTCCTTTGACAGCTCTTTGGTCTTGGCCATAGTGGAGTTTGGAGTGTGACTGTTTGAGGTTGTGGACAGGTGTCTTTTATACTGATAACAAGTTCAAACAGGTGCCATTAATACAGGTAACGAGTGGAGGACAGAGGAGCCTCTTAAAGAAGAAGTTACAGGTCTGTGAGAGCCAGAAATCTTGCTTGTTTGTAGGTGACCAAATACTTATTTTCCACCATAATTTGCAAATAAATTCATTAAAAATCCTACAATGTGATTTTCTGGATTTTTTTCTCTCAATTTGTCTGCATAGTTGACGTGTACATATGATGAAAATTACAGGCCTCTCTCATCTTTTTAAGTGGGAGAACTTGCACAATTGGTGGCTGACTAAATACTTTTTTTCCCCACTGTATATCTTGGTTCAGGATGAAGAGGCTCACAATTACTGTTTTCTGAGTTTAATGAGGCGGTCTGACTATATCAGAGGATATCTCCACACAAAACAGATGGCCAGAGCCAGTTAGTTTGCGTTTTATGATCAGAATTGGATCGGAGCAATTAGTGCCATCACTTTAAACCATTTGTCTCCTAGAACATGACAGGGCTTGTGTTCACAAAGCATCTCAGTGTAGGAGTGCTGATCTAGGATCAGGTCCCCCCCGTCTATATAATTTATTCATTATGACCTACATGGGAAAACTGACCCTAGATCAGCACTCCTTCTCTGAGCCGCTTTGTGAATACGGGCCCTGGTGTATAATGATGATGATGATGTGGTAGGTAGCAGGATTAGGATGTTACTCACGTTTGATGACAGAGAGGGAACACCACTGGACCTTCTTCCAGCGGCTGCAGATGAGCCACTGGTTGACCTTCTTCACCAGCTCTGCCAGGTGGTCCGGGTCCGACTTCATGATCTGATCAAACTCTTTAAACTGAGAGGAGGATGGATGGAGAAAGAAGGGATGCGAGAGGGATGGAGAAATGGGAGAGAAGAATGGAGAGAGGGACGAGAGAGAAGGATGAAGAGAGAATAATGGATGGATGAGACAGAAGGATGGAGAGAGAGATGAGAAAGAAGGATGGAGAGAGAAGAATGGATGGATGAGACAGAAGGATGGAGAGAGAGATGAGACAGAAGGATGGAGAGAGAGATGAGACAGAAGGATGGAGAGAGAGATGAGACAGAAGGATGGAGAGAGAGATGAGACAGAAGGATGGAGAGAGAGATGAGACAGAAGGGTGGAGGGAGAGATGAGACAGAAGGATGGAGAGAGAGATGAGACAGAAGGATGGAGAGAGAGATGAGACAGAAGGATGGAGAGAGAGATGAGACAGAAGGATGGAGAGAGAGATGAGACAGAAGGATGGAGAGAGAGATGAGACAGAAGGATGGAGAGAGAGATGAGACAGAAGGATGGAGAGAGAGATGAGACAGAAGGATGGAGAGAGAGATGAGACAGAAGGATGGAGAGAGAGATGAGAGAAGGATGGAGAGAGAGATGAGACAGAAGGATGGAGAGAGAGATGAGACAGAAGGATGGAGAGAGATGAGAGATGAGAGAGAGAACATAGAGCAGCCAAAGACACTTCCCCACTAAAACAGCCATCAGTATGCTGAGGTTCCCTCAGGGAAGGTGAAAGCAGAGTTACAGTAACAGCAGCAAAGTACCTGTCTGGACGTGGTCAACAGAGGATAGTATATTCATTTATTCATAAGCACAAAACTACTGAGCTACAATATCAAAGTTACACCTGCCCCACACAGCGATCACCTCTGACAGAGTCCAATTAAGCCACAACAGACCTTTTTATAATGGGCCTCCAAACCACACATTTAACATCATTGAATAACTCATCTGTTACAGAAATGAATACCCCATGTGTTAGCTCTGCATGGTATATTATCAGATTCCCTTTCCCCTGCTGAGCTCCCCTCGCTCACAGCCAAATGCGGATTCCTTTGAAGTCCATTCAGTCAGGGGAACATTGTAATGCTGAGAGCCAGAGCAATGACATCACAGCATAACAGAGATATATCATGGAGGTATCACCTTCCCAGGTCTGAAGAACACTCTGGTCAGCCCAAACTTGTAGTCGTTCTCGTTGAGTCCCAGCGCTTTGAATAAAGCCTGCAGCACAAACACAAACATGTCATTGTCATATGAACATGACAAACTGGGTTTGTAGTGTATTGGATGGTACAGTGATAAGAGGATGAGCCCAGAGCAGGGCCAGTGTGTGTGTGGCCCATGGGGCACTGACCTTGCAGAAGAGCCTTGGGTCCAGGCGGGTCAGCTTGGCAGGCATATATTGCTTGTACATGTTGTAGAGCTCATGGAACGGAGCTCTGGAGGGGAAGCCTCCCTGCATCAGGTCCAGCACTGACACCATTCCTACACAGACAGACAGACTTTAGTGAACTATTCACAAAAATATTTACAAAAATACATACAGGTAGGAGCAGATCATCATATTATATTAAAGCAGGTTGCATGCTGCAACACATTTTGACCAATCAGGTCTTCCTCAGGAAGCGTCAGTCTACCTGCCTTTAAGGGGCCTTTTTTCCATTGACATTCTCTCACTTGCAGACAGACCGGGTCATCCCAGTCCAAAGAGAGAACTCAATAACTCATTTGATGCAGTCAGTGGTCAACTTTAAGACACATTTCTCTCTGACTGTCTATGCATGACTACTTCCCCTGTTTCTTCCAAATGCATCAAGCTAACAATTGCTGACTCGTCCAATATAGTTAATGCCTCATTTGTTCTTAAGCTCAGAGAGACGGAGCAACACAGTCTCTCCATGTATCTGAGCCAACACTAATAAGTGTAGATGAAAAATGCAGGCATCTCCAAGGATACAGAAGAAAAGTGTGTCAAATTGAACAGGAAAATGTTAAATTAAATTAGCTTCACATCCTTTAGTTTAAAGGTCTGAGAAAGAGAAATGTTCAGAAAACACTCAAGAAGAACAGCAAGCAGACACTTAGATGCTATACAGTATCTCTTCTCCAACTGTAATTGTGTGCCAATTTGTGGAGAGAAAATATAAGACTTTTCAGTTAATGTATGTAAATTACTCTGGTCATTTAGCATTTGATCGTTTTTGTGCCGCAGCGACAAGACAGTTTTTTAATAACTGCAGCATTGGTGTGGGGAGATTAAAACCCCACATAGGTACAGTAATTTCTCCCTGTGTCGCTGTATGTAATTAATTTATAAACGTATTAATATATGTACTGCATTAGCATTTTCCAGACGCTCAAAGCGCTTTGCATAGTAAGGTGGTGAAACTTCACCTCATCCACCACCAATGTAGAGCAAGTGTGCTTCCCAAATGGCACCCTATTCCCTTTATAGTGCACAACCTTTGACCTGGGCTAGCGCTGAGCATTAACCGAAATGTAAGTGATTTATATGTTTTTTGAAACAACTAATTAACCAATGTCGGTTCAATAATTTGAATTCCATTTTGTTTTTGTTTTTTCTGTGAGCTCAATGCACACATTGCACAGTTTCTCTAGAGATAAATCAGATCCAGCCTGAACTGTGCGATGTAGTATGGAGTTATAGTTTCCAACAGGCCATTATTCTACATAGTTTAGCGCATAAAATGTGGTCATTATAGTTTATTACCATAATTTATGCGCTAAACTACGCAGAATATTGGCCTGTTGGAAACTACTTGTCCGGTCTGTGTGTTTCTTTTACGCCTGCTACATTAGGTTAGTGTGGGACAGACACAGAGACAGAAGAATGCGCAATCGAGAGGGATAGAGAGCATTTGCTTCACGAGGCATCTCTACCTGAAAATACATGATCTAAGTGATTGATAGTTAGTATTCAGCAGTCATAAAAGTATACCTTATTTACTTTGAAGAACTAAAATAGTGATTTTGTCAGACAGCATAGGCAGCAGCTCTATAGAGATGAGATGTTGACTTAGAATGAAATAATAAAGTCATCAAAAAAAACAAATGTAATATACACAACAACTGCAATATTCTATTAAAGTAATGTGAATAAATGATGGTTAATAAGTGTAATGGAGAGTCACCACCATCATGGGACTTTTATTCATAGCTTTTTTTCTGTGTTACAGCATTCAACCCACATAATGCATTGTGCATTTAATGTAAAAAAACAAATCAAAACTGAAAACCGTAATTTTTTATATATAATCGAACCAAAACGGAATCGCTCAGCACTAACTACGGCCCATAGGGAATATGGTGCATTAGTCCTTCTAGTTGACTAGTTATTCTAGTTGATTAGTTATTCTCTTTAGGCCTACAGTGCATTCGGAAAGTATTCAGACGCTTTGACTTTGTCCACATTTTGTTACGTTACAGCCTTATTCGATAATTTTCCTCATCAATCTACACACAATACCCCACAATGAGAAAGCGAAAACAGGTTTTTGGAAACTTTTGACAATTTAATCAAAATAAAAAACAGAAATACATTTTTACATAAGTATTCACACCCTTTGCTATGAGACTTGAAATTGAGCTCAGGTGCATCGTGTTTCCATTGATCATTACATTTATATTTTAGTAATTTAGCAGACGCTCTTATCCAGAGCGACTTACAGTTAGTGAGTGCATACATTTTTCATCCTTGAGATGTTTCTACAACTTGATTGGAGTCCACCTGTGGTAAATTCAACTGATTGGACATGATTTGGAAAGGCACACACTTGTCTATATAAGGTCCTACAGGCGACAGTGCATGTCAGAGCAAAAACCAAGCCATGAGGTCGAAGGAATTGTCCGTAGAGCTCTGAGACAGGATTGTGTCGAGGCACAGATCTGGGGAAGGGTACCAAAACATTTCTGCAGCATTGAAGGTCCCCAAGAACACATTGGCCTCCATCATTCTTAAATGGAAGAAGTTTAGAACCACCAAGACTCTTCCTAGAGCTGGCCGCCCGGCCAAATTCAGCAATAGGTGGAGAAGGGCCTTGGTCAGGGAGGTGACCAAGAACCCGATGGTCACTCTGACAGAGCTCCAGAGTACCTCTGTGGAGATGGGAGAACCTTCCAGAAGGACAACCATCTCTGCAGCACTACACCAATCAGGCCTTTATGGTAGAGTGGCCAGACAAAAGCCACTCCTCAGTTAAAGGCACATGACAGCCCTCTTGGAGTTTGCCAAAAGGCACCTAAAGACTCTCAGACCATGAGAAACAAGATTGTCTGGTCTGATGAAACCAAGATTGAACTCTTTGGCCTGAATGCCAAGCATCACATCTGGAGGAAACCTGGCACCATCCCTACGGTGAAGCTTGGTAGTGCCAGCAGCATGCTGTTGGGATGTTTTTCAGCGGCAGGAACTGGGAGACTAGTCAGGATCAAGGAATAGATGAACGGAGCAAAGTACACAGAGATCCTTGATGAAAACCTCAGACTGGGGCGAAGGTTCACCTTCCAACAGGACAACGACCCTAAGCAAACAGCCAAGACAACGCAGGAGTGGCTTCGGGACAAGTCTCTGAATGTCCTTGACTGGCCCAGCCAGAGCCTGGACTTGAACCCGATCTAACATCTCTAGAGAGACCTGAAAATAGCTGTGCAGCGACGCTCCCCATCCAACCTGACAGAGCTTGAGAGGATCTGCAGAGAAGAATGGAAGAAACTCCCAAAATACAGGTGTGCCAAGCTAGTAGTGTCATACCCAAGAAGACTCAAAGCTGTATTCGCTGCCAAAGGTGCTTCAACAAAGTACTGAGTAAAGGGTATGAATACTTATGTAAATGTGATATTTCCGTTTATTTTCATTATTTTTTTGCAATAATTATTATTATATTATTATATTTGCAAACATTTCTAAAAAACTATTTTTGCTTTGTCATTATGGGGTATTATGTGTACATTGATGAGGAAAAAAAACAATTTAATTAATTTTATAATAAGGCTGTAACATAACAAAATGTGGAAAAAGTCAAGGGGTCTGAATACTTTCCGAATGCACTGTATATACTGACCTGAGCATTGCAGCTGAGAGAGGATCTGGGCCCCTTCAAACTGGTGGCTGATCATCTTCAGATTGGGCTTGATACAGCGGATGAAACTGGAGCCCTGGGAGGGAGGGAGGGAGGGAAGGAGAAGAGGCTGTTAGCCATAGACATCATATTCAATTGAAATGTTCTATATGTAATTCCATGCTGTTAGCCCTGACAGCAGCCACACTGAAGATGGCCACATAGTACCTCTTTGGTGATCCAGATCTAAATTGGTTGGACATTGGCTTGGACATTATCGACTGACAAAATAAAAATGTTCCCTGGAAGATTTATAAAATTACACTCCCCTCCGTATTTATTTGGACAGTGATGCTAAAATTGGCTCTATACTCCAGCATTTCATTAATTAATCGTGAATAATGATGAGTGAGAAAGTTACAGAGGAATAAAGATCATACCCCCCAAAAAACATCCTAACCTCTCACCATTACCAATGACAGGGGAGATTATCATACCCCCCAAAAAAGGCTAACCTCCCCTTGTTATTTGTAATGGTGAGAGGTTAGCATTTTTGGGGCGGTATGATCTTAGTCCCTCTGCAACTTTCTCACTCATCATTAGTCACGATTCATTCAGGATTATCCATAATAATGGTGGCATCCACATTAATGATTAGTGTTTAGAAACATATTCTATTCTAATTTTCTATAAAAGGGAAACAATACATGATTCACCATTCAGTTCGATTTGATTTGATTTACTAGGACCCCATTAGCCGACGCCAATGGCAACAGCTAGTCTTGCTGGGGTCCGACATAACGAAAAAGACATTACAGACAAGATACTTTACAATTTATATACATTTAAAAACATTTACATGTAGTGTGTGTGTGTGCATCTATCAGTTACACATACAGGTCAGTACATGCACACAACAAGTGGTCCTCTGTAGCTCAGCTGGTAGAGCACGGCGCTTGTAACGCTAAGGTAGTGGGTTCGATCCCCGGGACCACCCATACACAAAAAATGTATGCACGCATGACTGTAAGTCGCTTTGGATAAAAGCGTCTGCTAAATGGCATATTACTATTACTAGGTCACATTGGTGAGAGGCGTTGTGCCGTGAGGTGTTGCTTTATTTGTTTTTTTAAACCAGGTTTGCGGTTCACTTGCACTACATAAGATGGAAGGGAGTTCCCTGCACTTATGGCTCTGTATAATACTGTACGTTTCCTTGAATTTGTTCTGGACCTGGGGACTGTGAAAAGACCCCTGGTGGCATGTCTGGCGGGGTAAGTGTGTGTGTCAGTGCTGTGTGTAAGTTGACTATGCAAACAATTTGGAATTTCCAACACATTAATGTTTCTTATAAAACAAGAAGTGACACAGTCAGTCTTTCCTCAGCTCTCAGGCAAGAGACACTGGCATACATTATATTAATATTAGCCCTCTGATTATAATGAAGAGCAAGATGTGCCGCTCTGTTCTGGGCCAGCTGCATCTTAACTAGGTCTTTCTTTACAGCACTTGACCATATGACTGGACAATAATCAAGATAAGACAAAACTTGATCCTGCAGGACTTGCTTTGTGGAGCGTGGTGCCAAAAAAGCAGAGCATCTCTTTATTACGGACAGACCTCTCCCCATCTTCACAACCATTTCATATATATGTTTTGACCATGACAGTTTAAAATCTAAGGGCAGTTTACAATTTATTGGGTCAAACATAATCTATAACACAACCAAAACAAACTGCAAATGGATCCAACAAGTTTGTAGTCACAGGCTTGAAGTAGTCATTGTGTGCTAGGAATATGGGACCAAATACTAAACTTTTGACTACTTTAATATACTAAGTGAATTTGTCCAAAAACATATATACAGTGCATTCGGAAAGTATTCAGACCCCTTGACTTTTTCCACAATTTGTTACGTTACACAGACTTATTCTTAAAAAAAAATAGTCAATCTACACACAATACCCCATAATGACAAAGCAAAAACTGGTTTTTAGAAATGTTGGCGAATTTATTAAAAATAAAAAACAGAAATATCTTATTTACATAAGCAATCTGACCCTGTGCTATGAGACTCGAAATTGAGCTCAGGTGCATCCTGTTTCATTAATCATCCTTGAGATGTTTCTAGAACTTGATTGGAGTCCACGTGTGGTAAATTCAATTGATTGGACATGATTTGGAAAGGCACACACCTGTCTACATAAGGTCCCACAGTTGACAGTGCATTTCAGAGCAAAAACCAAGCCATGAGGTCGAAGGAATTGTCCGCAGAGCTCCGATACCAGATTGTGTCGAGTCACAGATCTGGGGAAGGGTACCAACAAATTTCTGCAGCATTGAAGGTGCCCAAGAACACAGTGGCCTCCATCATTCTTAAATGGAAGAAGTGTGGAACCACCATGACTCTTCCTAGAGCTGGCCGCCCGGCCAAACTGAGCAATCGGGGGAGAAGGGCCTTGGTCAGGGAGGTGACCAAGAACCTGATGGTCACTCTGACAGAGCTCCAGAGTTACTCTCTGGAGATGGGAGATCCTTCCAGTTAGACAACCACCTCTGCAGCACTCCACCAATAAGGCCTTCATGGTAGAGTGGCCAGACAGAAGCCACTCCTCAGTAAAAGGCACATGACAGCCCACATTGAGTTTGTCAAAAGGCACCTAAAAGACTCTCAGACCATGAGAAACGAGATTCTCTGGTCTGATGAAACCAAGATTGAACTCTTTGGCCTGATTGCCAAGCGTCACGTCTGGAGGAAACCTGGCACCATCCCTACGGTGAAGTTGTTCAGCAGCAGGGACTGGGAGACTAGTCAGGATTGAGGGGAAGATGAACAGAGCAAATTACAGAGAGATGCTTGATAGAAACCTGCTCCAGAGCGCTCAGGACCTCAGACTGGGGCAAAGGTTCACCTTCCAACAGGACAACGACCCTAAGCACACAGCCAAGAAAATGCAGGAGTGGCTTTGGGACAAGTCTCTGAATGCCCAGCCAGAGCCCGGACTTGAACCCGATCGAACATCTCTGGAGAGACCTGAAAATAGCTGTGCAGCAACGCTCCCCATCCAACCTGACGGAGTTTGAGAGGATCTGCAGAGAAGAATGGTAGAAACTCCCCAAATACAGATGTGCCAAACTTGTAGCGTCATACCCAAGAAGACTCAAGGCTGTAATCGCTGCCAAAGGTGCTTCAACAAAGTACTGAGTAAAGGGTCTGAATACTTATGAAAATGTGATATTTCAGTTTATTGTCATTATTTTTTTCGCAAAAATGTCTCTAAACCTGTTTTTCCTTATGGGGTATTGTGTGTAGATTGAGGGGAAAAAAACTATTTAATCCATTTTAGAATAAGGCTGTAACATAACAAAATGTGGAAAAAGTAAAGAGGTCTGAACACTTTCCAAATGCACTGTATGTATGTATGTATGCATGCATACAAATGGTGGGACTAACACATAAAATACTTTCATTTCTAAACGATAAAGCAGATATGTATGAAAATACCCTCAAATAAAAGGTGACATTCTGTACTGACGCAACATATGAAACATTTAATCTCAAATCCATAATGCTGGAGCATAGAACCAAATTTACAAATGTTATCTTAACTGTCCAAATAAATACGGAGGGGAGTGTACACTATACGAGAACTGATCTCAACTCAAGTTAGATGCCCTGTGTGTGAGGTAAAGTAGTAAATCGCTGAGCACTGTAGTAAATACTAACCGTGCTGCGAAGCTTCTCCAGTAGAATGTTCAGCTGGGTCTGTTGAGATAAAATAAAACCTTTGTTTAGTGATACAGACCGACTCCACAGACCTGTCTAGTCCAACACAGCATGAACACATGCTTATTGAAGGGTGCTTGCTCCCTCTCTGCCTCCAGTGCTCCTGTCCAACACTCAAAACAACAGCTACTTAAGCAACAGTACAGCCGCGCCAGGCACACGTTTATGGTTAAAGCGCATTGAAATGAAAGACAAAGACATTTTGCATTAATGTATCATGCAAACAGGTCTAAATACAACACTGATAGGACCACAGGAACAGAGGGACAGACGGATGGATGCATGGTAGCGAACTGCCCATGCATTGTGGGATGACAGACAGACAGACAGACAGACAGATAACCGCTTGTTGGCCCCTCGGTCACTGATCTAGAGCTCTGGTGGCAAAACCTCTGGAACCTTCACAAAATGTCCCGGTTTTCCAGAAATCCCAGTTGGTATTCCCTAATGAGTCCAGGAATTGTCCATACCAGGATTTCTGGAAAACCTGGGAAGTTACCGGCATTTTGCAACCTTAATCTGCAGAGAGTTGTGTTTAACAGACAGACTGCTCTAGGGACCACCCCTGGGACATTAATATTTATACACCCAACAGGATATCTCAAATAAACCGCTGATAACGCTCTCTATCTCACCTTGTCACTGAGAACAGACAGGTACAAAACGCTGAATCACTGATTAGGCCTTAGTCAAGCTCTAAGCCTTATGATCTACAGCGTATCACTATTTCTACAGTAACTGCCTTATTAACAGTAGCTGCTAAATATTTTCAGTAGCTGCCTGGCAGGCAGTCCTATTCGGTGCAACTGCCAACTGGCATGCACATTGGTCAATAAGTATTGCACTAATTGTACTCGTAATAATTTTACTATGGCATCATAAGAAGATAATGGGATTTTAGGGGCAATTGATCGGTGGTCATTGAACCTGTCATTGAAGATTTATCTGATCCTATAAGCTATGGATCTCACTGCAAACTATATGATGTCGCAAACTCTTGATACTACACTCTTGATAATGATATGAATAACATCTCAATTGATTGGAATTGGAAGCTGCCGACATCGAGATATCATTAGCAAGTGTTGCAGGAGACAAACAGTGATTAACAGGGAGACAGCACAGAAACAGGACTGGGAAAGTAGGGGACAGGGAAGGGCGATGACTGCAGGCGGTTAGCTGGAGAACAGCAGGGTGTTCCCTGATTTATTCACTGATGCATTGCGGGATTCATAGCACACAACAGAACAGGACAAGTTACCTTATTTCCCTGGCTGATTCTGATTTGACCCCCTATATGTTTCTACTTTTCCTGTCTGTATTTCTCCCCCTCTCTACACACCTGGACTTTAAATCACAGCTATGATGGGGGATAGGGAAAGGATGGAGAGATAGAGGGAGGAGGAATGAAGAACAGAACGGAAGGAGGAACAGTGGGAGGGAGAGAGATTAGGAAGAACAATACTAACAGAATACAGAAACAAAATGAACTCTGTGGAAACTAAAACAGAGGAAGATTCAATCAGAAAACACTATCAAAAAACATTACGCAACCATGAAAAATAAGCACCATTCAAATCCTCTAAAATTTGAATGTAACTTTTCGTAACTATTGTACTCCAACTTTCCTTCTTCTCTGTGTCTAGCAGTACCTATGACAGCTTATAAGAACTGCTTATTAACAGGAATGAATATTGCAGCAACCGAAAGCTCCTCTGATTTCACTTACAACAGACACAGCATCATAACACTTCCTACAGGAACACAGCATAGAGTAAGAAAGAGTATCACTGTTATGACTATAAAGTAACAAAATAGCCTTGATGCTACTGTTTTGTATATAAAACACAAGATAAATGTAACAAACATGAACACACCTGCTACAGCTAATAAAAGGCCCAGTGCAGTCAAAAACCGGATTTTCCTGTGTTTTATATACAGTATACAGTACCAGTCAAAGGTTTGGACACACCTACTCATTCAAGGGTTTTTCTTTATTTTTCCTATTTTCTACATTGTAGAATAATAGTGAAGACATCAAAACTATGAAATAACACATATGGAATCATGTAGTAACCAAATAATATTTTATATTTGAGATTCTTAAAGTAGCCACCCTTTGCCTTGATGACAGCTCTGCACACTCTTGGCATTCTCTCAACCAGCTTCAATGCTTTTCCAACAGTCTTGAAGGAGTTCCCAAATATGCTGATCACTTGTTGGCTGCTTTTCCTTCACTCTGCCGTCTGACTCATCCCAAACCATCTCAAGGTCGGGGGATTGTGGAGGCCAGGTCATCTGACGCAGCACTCCATCACTCTCCTTCTTGGTCAAATAGCCCTTACACAGCCTGGAGGTGTGTTGGGTCATTGTCCTGTTGAAAAGCAAATTATAGTCCCACTAAGCCCAAACCAGATGGGATGGCGTATCGCTGCAGAATGCTGTGGTAGCCATGCTGGTTAAGTGTGCCTTGAATTCTAAATAAATCACAGACAGTGTCACCAGCAAAGCACCCCCACACCATAACACCTCCTCCTCCATGCTTTACAGTGGGAACTACACATGCGGATATCATCCGTTCACCCACACCGCATCTCACAAAGATACAGCGGTTGGAACCAAAAATCTCAAATTTGAATTATTGGTGTCCTTTAGTAGTGGTTTCTTTGCAGCAATTTGACCATGAAGGCCTGATTCACACAGTCCCCTCTGAACAGTTGATGTTGAGATGTGTCTGTGACTTGAACTCTGTGATGCATTTATTTGGACTGCAATTTCTGAGGCTGGTAACTCTAATGAACATATCCTCTGCAGCAGAGGTAACTCGGTCTTCCATTCCTGTGGCAGTCCTCATGAGAACCAGTTTCATCATAGCGCTTGATGGTTATTGCGACTGCACTTGAAGATTAACTGACCTTATTAACTGACGTATTAACTTCCGTATTAACTGACCTTCATGTCTTAAAGTAATGATGGACTGTCGTTTCTCTTTGCTTATTTGAGCTTTTCTTGCCATAATATGGACTTGGTCTTTTACCAAATAGGGCTATATTCTGTATAACCCCCCTACCTTGTCACAACAGAACTGATTGGCTCAAACGCATTAAGAAGGAAGGAAATTCCACAAATTAACTTTTATGAAGGCACACCTGTTAATTGAAATGCATTCCAGGTGACTACCTCATGAAGCTGGTTGAGAGAATGCCAAGAGTGTGCAAAGCTGTCATCAAGGCAAAGGGTGGCTATTTGAAGAATCTCAAATATAAAATATATTTTGATTTTTTTAACACTTTTTTGGTTACTACATGATTCCATATGTCACTATTATTCTACAATGTAAAAATAGTCAAAATAAAGAAAAACCCTTGAATGAGTAGGTGTGTCCAAACTTTTAACTGGTAGTGTTTATGAGGTTGTAATAATACTATAAATTGTGAAAATTATGATACCCTTTTAATGTAAGGGCTGTTTGAAAAGACCGCACGAAATTGTAGTCTTTTTTGGTGGGATGGCGTTTTGGCCTGCCTGGTGACATAACCAGGTGGTAAATTAGTTAATAGACCAATAAGAAAGAGAGTTCCAAACCTCCCTGCCAATAACAGCTAGTTTTCCACTCCTCACTCAGACCACTCCCAGACAGTCCTAGCTACATTATTTATTGAGAAATTGTCCTTTGCTAAGAAGCTATTTGTTTATTTTGGCCCATTTTAATTGAAAACCATCACAGTAAGGTACTTAATTGTTACCAGAAAATGACTTGATATTGAGATAGAAATGGCTAAACTGGACTTTTAAAATTGACATTCATACCCTTTCCCCCCAGTATTCCACGGTTGCATCCCAAATGGCACCCTATTGCCTACATAGTGTACTAATTTTGACCAGAGCCCTATGGGTCCTGGTCAAAAGTAGCACACTTTATAGAGAATAGGGTGCCATTTGGGATACCTGCCATGTTGAGCAGCACATTAATAAAGTGTGATAGTAAAAGGCAGTAGATTAAAATTCGTCCTCACCTTGAATTTGTTGCCGACGCTGATGAAGCTGAGCTTGCCGGCCTTCTGTTTGGAGTCCTTGGTGTTGTTGGAGTTCTCAAAGAGCTCCCGGATAAACCGGTCCTTAGACTCACTCACCAGGCACTCCAGGGACATGTGTAGCGCGTCATTGTTCTTCTCCACAAACTTGGTCTGCAAGTCAGAGTAAATGTAAAACCTTAAAGATGCAGAAGAACCCGGTTCAGGAAATTGCTACTCTGGTTGGAAGATAAGTGGGGTACTTGTGTTAAAAAGAAACTGAGTTCCACATGCTGGGTTTTGTGCAGGTTTCAAAGAGGAGGAGAATGTTTGGTTGGAGATGCTGTAGTATAGCCTACCGCAAGGACATAGTGGATTACTTAAATAGACCGAAGTCTGATCATATAAAAGATGTAATGTTGATGTTTTCTATCCTTCAGACATCCTGCCGATTCATTTTGTGAACATAAACGTACCGTCTCATAGCACACCGCTCCTGCAAAGTGTCTGACGATGAATCCCTCGTCATCCCTCACATTCCTGTGAACTTGCAGCTTGGATTTCCGGGGCACCTGAGGAACACATTTCACGCTATCCATTTTAACTAAGTAAAAAAATACAACCACAGAAACAAGACTTATTCCAATGGCTTAACAAACCCACGACTGACATTACAGCTGATAAAACGCACACAGCCTATAACTACACAGAGAAAGGACATCAATCCTGGTTAAAGTAAGAACTCACGGTCAGTCGGAAGTGGTTCTTGTGCTTGTTATGTACTGTCTCTGCAAAGTGCTGGTCGCTGGGCTGAGGTAGACGGTTCTCTTCATCCAGGATGTCCAGGATGCCCACCAGCTTGGCCTCCACAAGGTCTGTAGACAGACACAGCGGTCAGGAGTCAGGGGTCAAGAGATCCCAAAATGACTGTATCCAATCAGCCAGTGTAGCCTTAGAGCTATCCTAGCCTGTTGCCTCATGTATTTCATTAGGGGTTTAGTCTTTGTATAGTCCAGGGCCACTGAAGGTGTAAGATATCCAATTATGCTAGGGAAGGGAGGTGTACCTGTCAAAAACCAATTTAAGGTGTAATAAAATAATGAAAATGTTTCAGTTCAGAATAGCCTGACCTTGACCTACACAGACCACTCTGCAGGTGAGGGCAATGGCTCATTAAGAAATAACTGAATGACACATCCAAAGTTAGAGCTGCAGTGACTCACTCTTTCCATAGGTTAGTCTAGAGAGAGAGAGATTGCAGGGGGTTTTATGCATAGAAAGGTAAGTTTAAAAAAATTGGGATGGAAAAATATTTTCAGTGTAAACTTCAACGACTAAAACCTATATATTTTTAAATAAAACAATCTTAGAGAACTAACAATCACCTAAATGAAAGCTAGACAGTCAGGGAGATTTTTTAAAGATTGTTTATGATGCATTCAGGGGTATTTTTGTCCTATCATTGGGCCCAATTGATTTTGTTATAATGTTTGAGTCACTTTCCACATCATGGCAAAATGTGTAGAATTGCAGGAAGTTAGCTTTAAAACAGCAACATTTGGTAACTGCGGCCAACAGGATGGCCTCTCAGGACGCCCACCACCAAAGCCCCATTAGTGGTCCAGAAAAAACCCTAGAATGGAGCTTCTCACTGTGTATTTCCTCTGATGCGTCTTGGTCTAAACAACGGGTTGCTCAAACAGAATGTGTTTGACACATAAAAGCTCAAAGCTGCATATTATTGGGATTGCTCGCCGCAACGTCACGGGCGACCTATCACAATAGAATCACAATAGACCGTCCCTTACACTTTTTTCCTCTGCCAATCCAGGAGGATATATAATCTCTCATACACAGAAATGCACAGCCAAATAATAGGTGACAAGTCATTTTTGGGGAGGAAAAGACTCCATTCTACCGAGCCAGTCCCCATTCTACTGAACCAGACCCCATTCTATCCAGCATTAACCCCCGTCACCTCCATTCCTCTCTCTGGCGTCCTGCCACCGTACCACCCCCATATCTCAAACAGAGGGGAAAGTAAGTTTGGGTGTGCTCTGCAAAATACTCAATCAATCTACCTCCCATCAACTGGCTTTCTTTCTGTTGACCATGCAACATTACTCTGGGTCAAGGCTCGGGGTCAGCTACTCCAGCTTCCCACGCAGAAGCCAAAACAGATCTCTAGTCAGAAGAACATGGAATGGCAACACATTGATAAAACAGGGGGAAAACACTGGAAACTAGGTGGAGGATACTGTACGTAGGCTAAACCTCTGAAATGATGTGATGTAATGGTATTAAGATTAGACAAACCTATGCAGTCCTGATTGTCGACATACCGGACCTCGTTTACTCCAAGGCCCTCCTTCTGATACAGCTCTTGTTCCTAGAATTCAAAACAGAACAGTTCCAATAACAATAATATATAATGACGTTCAGAATTTCTCGATTTCTTGCATCCTCTCTCCTCGCCTCCTTCTCAAAAGGCATTGAAGAAGAAGAAGGTCAGATGGGAGGGACCCATGGACATTCCCCTCAAATAGTTTAGAAGGAGGCAAGGAGATAAGATGCTAGGAATCGCAGAAAGACAACTTGAGGTTGAGCCCTGGTTGGACAACTGGGATGTCAGCTAAGGAGGCAGGGACATTGGGGTGAACACACACAGACCTAGGAAGAAGCGCTCACCTCTTTCAGAATGCGTTCGTTGAAGAACTGCTGCAGCTTCTCGTTACAGTAGTTGATGCAGAACTGTTCAAAGCTGTTGTGCTCAAAGTACTCTGGAAGAGAGACATTAGGAAACGAAAACACATTAAAAAACCAAGCACTTTTGCCGTAAACCACCACTGTCTCTGACTAATGGACTCTTGCAATTATATGCAATGTGTGGTTCATGTTATGTTCTGTATAATGTGTCTCGTGGGGAGATGTATGTTGTTGTTGAAGTTGTTTTAATGGACAATTATGCTGCAAAACCATTTTCCCCCCTGAGGGATAATAAAGTGTACTACTACTATCATATCATGTGGCATCATGTATCACATCCATAGAACACATAGATTGTACAGTGCCTTCAGAAAGTATTCACACCCCTCGACTTTTTCCAAATTGTTGTGTTACAGCCTGAAATTAAAATGGATTCAATTAGGGTTTTGTGTCACTGGCCTACACACAATACCCCATAATGTCAAAGTGGAATTAATGTATCTTTACAAATGAATTTAAAATGGAAAGCTGACATTTCTTGAGTCAATAAGTATTCAACCCCTTTCTTTATGGCAAGCCTAAATAAGTTCAGGAGTAAAGATGTGCTTAACAAGTTACATAATGAGTTGCATGGACTCACTCGGTGTGCAATAATAGTGTTAAACATTCTTTTTGAATGACTACCTCATCTCTGTACCCCACACATACAATTATCTGTAAGGTCCCTCAGTTGAGCAGTGAATTTCAAACACAGATTCAACCACAAAGACCAGGGAGGTTTTCCAATGCCTCGTAAAGAAGGGCAACTATTGCTAGATTAAAAAAAAGAAGAAAAAAAGCAGACATTGAATATCCCTTTGAGCATGGTGAAGTTATTAATTACACTTTGGATTGTGTATCAATACACCCAGTTATTACAATGATACAGGTGTCCTTCCTAACTTGCCGGAGAGGAAGGAAACAGCTCAGGGATTTCACCAAGAGGCCAATGCTGACTTTAAAACAGTTACAGAGTTTAATGGCTGTGATAGGAGAAAACTGAGGATCGATCAATAACATTGGGCTCCAGAGTGGCGCAGCGGTCTAAGGCACTGCATCTCAGTGCTTGAGGCGTCACTACAGACCCCCTGGTTCGATTCCAGGCTGTATCACAACCGGCCGTGATTGGGAGTCCCATAGGGCGGCGCACAATTGGCCCAGCTTTGGCCGGTGTAGGCCGTCATTGTAAATAATAATTTGTTCTTAACTGACTTGCCTAGTTAAATAAAGGTAAAATAAAATAAATAAATTGTAGTTACTCCACAATACTAACCTAATTGACAGTGAAAAGAAGGAAGCATGTACACAATACAAAATATTCCAAAACATGCATCCTATTTGCAACAAGGCACTACTGCAAAAATGGTGGCAAAGCAATTCACTTTCTGTCCTGAATACAAATTGGGGCAAATCCAGTTCAACACATTATTACTGAGTACCACTCTCCATATTTTTAAGCATAGTGGTGGCTGCATCATGTTATGGGTACGCTTGTAATCGCTAAGGACTGGGGAGTTTTTCAGGATAAAAAAAGGCAAAAAAAAGGCACAAAAAAAAGGCAATATCCTAGAGGAAAACCTGGTTCAGTCTACTTTCCAACAGACACTGAGAGATGAATTCACTTTTCAGCAGGACAATAACCTAAAACACAAGGCCAAATCTACACTGGAATTGCTTACCAAAAAGACTGTGAATTGTCCTGAGTGGCCGAGTTACAGTTTTGACTTAAATCTGCTTGAAAATCTATTGCAAGACCTGAAAATGGTTGTCTAGCAATGATCAACAACCAATTTGACAGAGCTTGAAGAATTTTGAAAAGAATAATGGGCAAATGTTACACAATACAGAAACCTCTTCGAGACAGAAAGACTCACAGCTGTAATCGTTGTCAAAGGTGCTTCAACAAAGTATTGACTCAGGGGTGTGAATACTTACGTAAATCAGATATTTCTGAATAACTTTTTTAAAATACATTTGCAACAATTTCAAAAACATGTTTTCACTTTGCCATTAGGGGGTATTGTGTGTAGATGGGTGAGATTTATTGTTTATTTTTTATAAATGTTGAATTCAGGCTGTAAAACAACAAAATATGGAATAAGTCAAGAGGTATGAATACTTTCTGAAAGCACTGTACATAGGGCACATAGAAGGGGTACAGACCGAAGCCTGCGATATCCAGAACCCCGATGAAGTTGGCGGAGGAGTGGAACGGGAAGCACTGGTTGACCCTGGTGACCACGTGGTCAAACAGCCGGCTGTACACTGCCTTGGCCAGGGCATCCCGTGCGTTATTTGCCTGCTCCACTTTCAGTGGCACTCTGGAGTGGGGGAGGTGGAGAGAGAGAGGGAGGAGAGAGGGGGGGAGAGAGAGAGCGGGGGAGAGAGCGAGAGAGCACGTCATTGAACTGAAATGAATAAACTTGACTTTTCTGTACGCAAAGTACATTTCTGTGAATAACATACAATTAAGTATATCTGATCTAAATCTAATTAATCGCACGAGGGGAAATTTGATTTTTCACCAGCAAAGAAACATACAGCAACAACATATAAACCTGAGCACTGGTGGCTGGTGAAACAAGTAGCCCACAACTCAAGACGACAGAGTCACTCACTAATCCCATCCATTCACCACCGTGGGTCTGCGGAACTGTTCAAGGTCCTGCTTGGTTTCCCATGTGGATAATTGCATTATTGATATCTTGGGGAAAAGAGTGACTGTAATGTGATAAGGAGCCATAACAATGAGAGAAGGTATAAGCGTCACAGCTCTGTGTAGGTATTATAATTGCCTTGGCGCTCTGACTGCAGTCAAGTATGTAGCTCAATAATCAGAGACCAAAGAGAGAGGGCTAAGAATGAAGAGGAATGAAAAGCATACAACATGAATACCCCGTGGACTTAAAGTTCCTCAGGAATACCCCGTGGATTTAAAGTTCCTCCTGAATACCCTGTTTCTCAACAAGCTTTACCTCTGCACTTTGCTTCACAAACATCATTGTCATGCACTTAAAGGCATGACAGAAAATAACTAATTCTCTACTTGTGGCACTTAGCAGTTCTCTGAGTACATAATGTCTATGTCCAAGTCCACCTTAGTAATGATTTCAGATTCTTCTCACACACATTCACCTCCATTACACACACACACACACTCTCTCGGGGCAGGACATATCCATTATCTCGTCCCCCCCCATGGATCTCCCTTCAGCACTGGCTGATGTGTTGAAACGACAGCCAAATCCCACAAGAAAAGGACTCTCCATGATGACCCCATCCTCACCCCACCAACTAATCTTACACCCTTGACCCCCCAGCTCTTAGTACACCTGGCCTCTCTCTCTACCACACCACATGTTTAATTCATATTCCCTTTGCTTCTTCCAGCCAGTGAGAAGAGGCCACAGTTAAAACATTTGAAAACAAGGGTTAAGCCTTGGCCTCATTTCAAAACCAAGAGGTTTGCCAGAACACTAACAGTAGCGGTGATGTGTGTATTCCTTATGAAGGCCACCTTGCTCAATGATCTCCATAAAATCATCTCCGGCACCATGTTTTCAGATGTCATCAGGAAGTTGAGAAGCTCACATGTCATTAAATGAGTCTGTGTACTGTACATGGGTTTAATGAGAGAATGGAGGACTGCCCTGCCCTCGCTGAGTCTCTCTCTCTCTTCTCTTTATCCAGGCAATCAACTCAAAGATTGCCACTTTTGGGGCACATTAGGTGTGCCAGTCAATCTTCACAGCTCACACTATTGCAGGCACTCAGGCACATCTGAAATAGTTTGAGCAACGTGCATTTGAAGGAAATGTGTTTCCAATCACTGGGCAGAGGAATGGGCACACACACAGTTGTTTGCTTGGCCTTGTGACAAGGGCCATAGTCCCAAATGGCACCCTATTCCCTATGTAGGCCTAGTGAACTACTGGCCCATAGGGCTCTGTTAAAATGGGAAACATAGAAGCCATTTTCACAGGAAAGGGATTTTTTTAGCGTGACGTGCTGGCTGAGCACACCTGGCCTTTACAACGTTGCGTAACAAGGAGGTATTTGCTTACTAGATCACGTGCCACATCTTTTTGAATTTACAGTAGGCAAAGTTTACATTCAATTGACATAGGAAGAGGTATGAAAGGAGAAGAGAGAGAGAGAGCGAAGAGAAACAGAGAGAGAGAAGAGAGAGAGAGAGAGAGAGAGAGAAGAGGAGAGAGAGAGAGCGAGAGAGAGGAGAGAGAGAGAGAGCAGAGGCGAGAGAGAGAGAGAGAAGAGAGAGAGCGAGAGAGGAGAGATAGAGAAGGACGAGAGTAGCGAGAGATAGAGTAGAGAGCGAGGGGTCTCTATCTAGCATCATCTATAGTCCTATCTCCTTCTATCTCTCTCTCTCGCTTTCTCTATCTCTCTCTCTCTTTCTCTCTCTCCTCTCTTCCTCTCTCTCTCTTCTCTCTCCTCTCTCTCAAAGTATTTGAACCCCTGCTTATTTTGTATGTTTGCCCACTGACAAAGACACAATCTGTATATAATTTTAATGGTAGGTTTATTTGAACAGTGAAAGACAGAATAACAACAAAAAAATCCAGAAAAACACGTCAAAAATTTTATAAATTGATTTGCATTTTAATGACAGAAATAAGTATTTGACCCCTCTGCAAAACATGACTTAGTACTTGGTGACAAAACCCTTGTTGGCAATCACAGAGGACAGACGATTGTTGTAGTTGCCCACCAGGTTTGCACACATCTCAGGAGGGATTTTGTCCCACTCCACTTTGCAGATCTTCTCCAAGTCATTAAGGTTTCGAAGCTGACGTTTGGCAACTCGAACCTTCAGCTCCCTCCACAGATTTTCTATGGGATTAAGGTCTGGAGACTGGCTAGGCCACTCCAGGACCTTAATGTGCTTCTTCTTGAGCCACTCCTTTGTTGCCTTGGCAGTGTGTTTTGGGTCATTGTCATGCTGGAATACCCATCCACGACCCATTTTCAATGCCCCGGCTGAGGGAAGGAGGTTCTCACCCAAGATTTGACGGTACATGGCCCCGTCCATCGTCCCTTTGATGCGGTGAAGTTGTCCTGTCCCCTTAGCAGAAAAACACCCCCAAAGCATAATGTTTCCACCTCCATGTTTGACGGTGGGGATGGTGTTCTTGGGGTCATAGGCAGCATTCCTCCTCCTCCAAACACGGCGAGTTGAGTTGATGCCAAAGAGCTCAATTTTGGTCTCATCTGACCACAACACTTTCACCCAGTTCTCATTTGAATCATTCAGATGTTCATTGGCAAACTTCAGACGGGCCTGTATATGTGCTTTCTTGAGCAGGGGGACCTTGCGGGCGCTGCAGGATTTCAGTCCTTCACGGCGTAGTGTGTTACCAATTGTTTTCTTGGTGACTATGGTCCCAGCTGAATTGAGATCATTGACAAGATCCTCCCGTGTAGTTCTGGGCTGATTCCTCACCGTTCTCACGTTCATTGCAACTCCACGAGGTGAGATCTTGCATGGAGCCCCAGGCCGAGGGAGATTGACAGTTCTTTTGTGTTTCTTCCATTTGCGAATAATCGCACCAACTGTTGTCACCTTCTCACCAAGCTGCTTGGCGATGGTCTTGTAGCCCATTCCAGCCTTGTGTAGGTCTACAATCTTGTCCCTGACATCCTTGGAAAGCTCTTTGGTCTTGGCCATGGTGGAGAGTTTGGAATCTGATTGATTGATTGCTTCTGTGGACAGGTGTCTTTTATAAAGGTAACAAACTGAGATTAGGAGCACTTCCTTTAAGAGTGTGCTCCTAATCTCAGCTCGTTACCTGTATAAAAGACACCTGGGAGCCAGAAATCTTTCTGATTGAGAGGGGGTCAAATACTTATTTCCCTCATTAAAATGCAAATCAATTTATAACATTTTTGACATGCGTTTTTCTGGATTTTTTTGTTGTTATTCTGTCTCTCACTGTTCCAAATAAACCTACCATTTAAATTATAGACTTATCATTTCTTTGTCAGTGGGCAAACTTACAAAATCAGCAGGGGATCAAATACTTTTTTCCCCCTCACTGTAAGTCATAAAAATAGCCCCGCAGAGAGAGCCAGTTCAAATCCCCCACCCTTTATAAGTATTTTCCTGTAACTGTACTCACACATTGCTATTGATTATCGAACACACAACCCTGCCATGCACTACCAACTGAGCCACATGGGACCACAAGGCATTGTACACCACTAACTCATTGCTTATTATTACGCCCTACGTAGGAAATAGGGTGTCATTTAGGAAGCACACATAAAGGCAAAGCCAGGCCCATATAAACCAGCACTTAAAGCACAAGTACTGTGTAAAAGTGTCTCTCGCTCCACAGATAAAACAACAGACAAACATTAGCGTGGGAGGGCGGGAGGGTAATTGCAGGTAGCGAGTGGCTTGGCATTCAGGTTGGCGAGCCGAGTGAGCGCCAAACTGCCCATACAACAATCACAGTCAGGCATTAGATAGACTGAGCCACGGCTAAATAGATGCAAGGCCATGGTGTAGATAGAGATAGGGACTGTGTCCCAAATGGCACACTATTTTCTATATAGTGCTCTGTCAAATGTAGTGCACTATATAGGGCAGGGATCATCAACTAGATTCAGCCGCGGGCCGATGTTTTCTTGAGCGGATGGTCAGGGGGCCGGAGCATAATTACAAATAATTTGTAGACTGCAAATTTTCCGCAAGAAGCCCAAACGGATATAATATTTGACTAAAACAATAATTTCAAACCTTGCTTACTTTTATATACAATCACATATACAGTGTCACTATTATGCGTGGGAATACTTTGGAACAGATTTTCAAAATGAAAATCACTTGGAGCTGATTTCCTGGTGTTTTTACAGTATTTTATGTCCAACAATAAAATTAAAATAACATAAATGTATATTTTGGGGGGGGGGCAAAATAAAATCACCCTCAGGCAAAATTCAGCCCGTGGGCTGCCAGTTGGGAACTAGGGTTGACCCCATTTAGTCGACTGGTTCATTGTTTGGTCCATTGTTTGATCGATAGGCTGTTGGTCAACCATTATTGTTTTGTCAAGCAGTGGCATATATATTTTACAAAGAATTATGGCACACAAGACACCCGTCTGATTCAGGCCTGTCTGAGTGGACTAATCCAGACACCCGTCTGATTCAGGCCTGTCTGAGTGGACTAATCCAGACACCCGTCTGATTCAGGCCTGTCTGAGTGGACTAATCCAGACACCCGTCTGATTCAGGCCTGTCTGAGTGGACTAATCCAGACACCCGTCTGATTCAGGCCTGTCTGAGTGGACTAATCCAGACACCCGTCTGATCACGGCCTGTCTGAGTGGACTAATCCATTGCGGAGGCACACCAGTAGGTCATTACCATAATTTATCATCTACAATGTTTTTTTTGGTTACGGTAATTTCTGTTAATGCATCCAATACTATTATTACAGTCTTACCGTTGTCATTTGTAGGAGTGGACACGTTGTTTGCAGAGCGCACAACCTAGGCTACACTTGTTTCCCACAGCAACATGACTTATTGTTTCCCACAGCAACATGACCTTATTGTTTCCCACAGCAACATGACCTTATTGTTTCCCACAGCAACATGACCTTATTGTTTCCCACAGCAACATGACCTTATTGTTTCCCACAGCAACATGACCTTCTTTCTTCTCTGCATGTAATACTGTGTTTCTCTCTCCTCTCCACTGCTCAGCTCTAACTCTACCAGTGGTGTGTGTGTTCGATCATCAACAGGAGAAATATAGCAGGGCAGAGGGAGGGAGGGAGTTTGGGAGGGAGGATGCATGCTTGGCTGCTGCTGGCTGATGCTGCCTTGTGTGTGACAGAGTGGCGCTCCTATTTTTAACTCTCAGCACAGAGAGATACATGACCTGAGCTATGGTGACTTACTTGATAACTGTTCCTTTGGCGCCCCCTGCTGTGGTGAGCATGACCCTGGACGTGAGGCTGACACTCAGGTCCTGCTCTTCCAGACCCAGAAGCACAGCACAGTACTCCACCGTCTGGCTTGACTGGTTCTTTATGGTGCAGCCGCCTGGTGGAACAGACATAGAGAACGATAACGTTATGAGTAGTTAGTAATGTTGTTAGTAACGTTGTAAGGACGATGTTTAGATGTTGTGAACGACTAGTAGGAATTTAGCTACTATACAGCTGTCATTCAATGTCAAAGTCAAAATGTCAAGAGTGATTTTATTAGAGATTGAGCAAGCTCTGACACTGGGTAAATGTGCAGATAGTGAGTGCACATACATTGCGGTAGGTAGCCTAGCGGTTAAGAGCCATTAATCGAAAGGTCGCTGGTTCGAATCCCCAACCCGACTAGGTGAAAGAAATCGGTCGATGTTCCCTTGAGCAATTGCTCCTGTAAGTCGCTCTGGATAAGATAAAATACTGTCACTAGCTATGGGCCTATCATTTTTTTTTAAAGCACTAGCTACATATGGAGATTCACCTTGGTCTGGTCTCAATAATATCAGGACAAAGCCTGCAATCAATCTCACATGATTTATCAGTGCAGACTTAACCTCCGCCAATCTATTTCCTAATCCATTTCCAAATGAAACATTATTCATAAATGATTCCTGAACCATAGCACTCCATCACTATGCAATTCATAAGTCACCTACCATGCCAGCCAGGGGTGGACCAGAGGGGGGATAGTGGGAAAGTATGGAGGGGATTTGATGGACAGTTCTAAGGATGACACAGGAAGGAGGGGAAAAGGAGACCATAGAGAATGATAGAGGCCTCTAGTGGCCAAAAGGCCGTATTAGCATGACCTTTTTAATGTAGTCAACTGGGTTGGACTTCCAACTTCATTGGCTGATTCCTCCTGGTGACCCTGTTGGAGTCATGTCCAACCGGGTCATCAGGAGGGATCAGCCAATCGTGAAGAAGAAAATGGACTACTTCAAAATGGAGATTGCTTTAATGGCGCTGCCCATGCTGTCACAGACGCTATAATGGCACAGATACAAAGATTAGTCCTCATCCTCTATGGGAGGACAGTTTGGTGGCGACACAGGAAGGAGGGGATACGGGGGACAGTTTAGGGGTGACACAGGAAGGAGGGGATAAGGGGGACAGTTTAGGGGCGACACAAAAAGGAGGGGATAAGGGGAACAGTTTAGGGGCGACACAAGAAGGGATAAGGGGGATAGTTTGGTGGGGACATTGGAAGAAGGGAGATAACGGGGAAAGTTGTAGGTGCTACACAGGAAGGAGACCCTCTCAAAGGAGCAGAGGCAGTATATCCTGTGTTTCATGTTAGGGACAGGGAGCAGCAGGACAGTTCACATCTCATGTTCATTATCTTCTCTGACTGGACTCTTTGCTTCGGTCTGCTGTAAAAGCGTGCCCACGGGAGACTCCCGCTGAGTACAAACTACTCTTTTTAAATGCCACCATGCTGTGCCTCTCACTTTACTTCCAGCGAGGGGGGGGGGGGGGGGGGGGGGGGCTGAAAGCCACTACGTTAAAGTTTTACTCTGATGTTCAAAATAAATGGTTTATTCCCATAGAAATGTGATCTTCCTCTGGGTTGTCGGGAACAGCATGTGTAATGTGGAGTCAGTGAGTAGAGGAGAGCCCAAGACATTCACAATGTAATGCATCAGTCCTGACAAATAAGAGAATATACTAACTTGCTCTAACAATACAAATCTACAAGATGATTCTGTAAGATATTACCGCAGATGACTACAAAGAGCGACATTCACAAAGAGACACATGAGAGTCATTTCATCAGTTACTCCGATGGCTTTGTATTAATAATGAATGGGGAGGAGAAGGACTAGTCCCCAGCGTCCGCGGTGTCTGTAATGGCTCTTTAATAGTGAACAAACGCCCTTTCACAGACTACAACAATGGTGCTTTTCCATTGAGACCCCCACACCAGTGGGCCGCCAGTGTTTTATGTTAATGTGAGCTCTAGTGTTATGGTGTTTCCATCAGGAGTGTGACACTCAAGACTTGTGGTGAGCAGAATCAACAACCTCTGCATCATTCACAGAGCAGGGTGTCCTGGCGGACCACAGCAAAATGGCATCTGCTGCCCGGACACAACGAGAGGATTGTTTTTGTGGGTAGACTAGACAGATTACTTCTTCATGCAACAACACACATTGAGAATATGCCAAGGTATCTGCCAGCTCTGTGACAAAACTTTATTAACTACCACTTTCTCAGCATCCCTTAGACTTCCTGTCCTGTGCCCTGGTCCTTTACTCATATTGTCACTGCACTGACAGAGACGGCTGTGTCTTTGTTATTGGTTAGTGTACCAAATAGTGTGTGTTCTGGAGCAATGTAGTCTGACACGACATCTCATAAGCCAGCCATGTGTTAAAGGGATACTTCGGGATTTTGTCAGATGAAATCATGGATACCATTTGTATGTCTGTGTCCAGTATGAAGTTAGAGGTAGTTTCGTGATGCAATGCTAACTAGCATAAGCGCAGTGACTGGAAGTCTATGGGTATCTACTAGCATGCTAACAGATATCCATAGACTTCCAGTCATTGAGCTAACGCTAGTTAGCAATTGCGCTAGCTAGTAACTTCCTTCAAACTGCACACAGAGACATAAAAATGGTATCCACGAGTTCATCTGACTAAGGGAAAGTAGATAAAGGGCCTCATTGCCAAAATTCTGAAGTATCACTTTAAGAAAGCTTGCATACAAGCATGCAAAAAACAATTGAAACTATGATGAGCAGTGAGTGAGTGTGGGTAAGAGAGCGAGAGAGATATACAGAGAGCGAGAGAGAAAGACTTGGCTCACCTGATGTGGAAACTATAGGGAGTGAGAGAGAGAGTGAGTGAGTGAGTGAGTGAGTGAGTGAGTGAGAGAGAGAAATAGTCAGACAGAGACCGACCAACCGTCACCCTGCTTACCTGATGTGCTCCCTGCCTCCTCAAAGTCGATGTTGCCCAGGTGCAGCACTCCGGCCACCACCCTGAACAGGTCCAGCTTCTCCGTATCATCCAGGCCGATCTTCTTCATGGCCCCGCACATCCTGTTGAAGTCCCCCTGGTCGTCCAGCAGAGGGTCCTTCAGGGGCCCAGCCTTCAGGTGCTGAGGAACCATAGTGGGGAGAGAACGGGTCAGTGGCCGCCCTCACCCGGGGCTTTGTTTAGACAGGCAGCCCTATTAATTTGACCAATCATGTCATCTCTATGTGAAAAGATCTGATGTGATGGCCAAAAGACCAATTAGTGGAAGAAATGTCAGAATTGGGCTGCCTGTGTGAACGCAGCCCCTCTCTCTATAACCTTAACTTTAACCCTTCGGGAACCCAGCTTTCAGGTGCTGATAGACAATGGGGAGAGAATGGGTCAGTGACCAGGGTCACACACACTTCACAGAAGGGGTACTGTCTCAAAGATCATAGGCTTGCATTGGAGGCTTGAAATAAGCTGTGTCAAGTCTGTGTCCTAAGGTCAATAAAAAATAACGTCTCTAATTACCCATAAAGTAAAAATACCATCTGTCTCCCTCACTGAGGTTTTCTTTGACTTGGTGAAAGTGTTTGGATCTGAGATGAGGCATGGGCTGCTATTTGACATGTAAAATTGGGACTTCAAGCTATAATGATAATTTGTTATGGAATTAGCACAATAAACCTGCATGAAAGATAAAGTACATCACATTACATTTACATTTTACATTTTAGTCATTTAGCAGACGCTCTTATCCAGAGCGACTCACATCTTCAACTAGCTGCAGTAGGAAGAGAAGCAGGGATAGTAAGTTCGATCACACACCTGGAAAACCAACCACACAAGAACAATGTCACAGTACGATGGTATACTGGCATAGAAATGATAACATACTGTAGCTTCTAACACCAGAATAGAATGCCAGATAAATGGCTTTTACCAACATCAAAATGAAATGTCTGAATAAGACCCATCTCTACATGCAATTTTAGACTCTTGAATTTATTTCAACTGACATTATTCTGTAACTGAAGGTGATTGCACTCGTTTATTAATTTAAACTAAGTCAATTAGTAATCTTTTTCTGTACACCATAAAGTACAGAGCAGAAATTGCCTTGTAAACAACAACCATAAGTTACAGTGATTTAGGGAGGCTGGTGTACAGGAGCAGTTTGTTCTTCTCTATAGAACAATTGATGACCTAAGGCAGGGTTCCCCAACTGGCCGAATTTGGCCCGCAGGTGGTTTTAAATAATACATAAAAATAATTATATATATACAGTGGGGAGAACAAGTATTTGATACACTGCCGATTATGCAGGTTTTCCTACTTACAAAGCATGTAGAGGTCTGTAATTTTTATCATAGGTGCACTTCAACTGTGAGAGACGGAATCTAAAACAAAAATCCAGAAAATCACATTGTATGATTTTTAAGTAATTAATTTGCATTTTATTGCATAACATAAGTATTTGATACATCAGAAAAGCAGAACTTCATATTTGGTACAGAAACCTTTGTTTGCAATTACAGAGCTCATACGTTTCCTGTAGGTCTTGACCAGGTTTGCACACACTGCACAGGGATGTTGGTCCACTCCTCCATCCAGACCTTCTCCAGATCCTTCCGGTTTCGGGGCTGTCGCTGGGCAATACGGACTTTCAGCTCCCTCCAAAGATTTTCTATTGGGTTCAGGTCTGGAGACTGGCTAGGCCACTCCAGGACCTTGAGATGCTTCTTACGGAGCCACTCCTTAGTTGCCCTGGCTGTGTGTTTCGGGTCGTTGGCCAAGATCTCGCGATACATGGCCCCATCCATCCTCCCCTCAATATGGTGCAGTCGTCCTGTCCCCTTTGCAGAAAAGCATCCCCAAATAATGATGTTTCCACCTCCATGCTTCACGGTTGGGATGGTGTTCTTGGGGTTGTACTCATCCTTCTTCTTCCTCCAAACACGGCGAGTGGAGTTTAGACCAAAAAGCTCTATTTTTGTCTCATCAGACCACATGACCTTCCCCCATTCCTCCTCTGGATCCAGATGGTCATTGGCAAACTTCAGACGGGCCTGGACATGCGCTGGCTTGAGCAGGGGGACCTTGCGTGCGCTGCAGGATTTTAATCCATGACAGCGTAGTGTGTTACTAATGGTTTTCTTTGAGACTGTGGTCCCAGCTCTCTTCAGGTCATTGACCAGGTCCTGCCGTGTAGTTCTGGGCTGATCCCTCACCTTCCTCATGATCATTGATGCCCCATGAGGTGAGCTCTTGCATGGAGCCCCAGACCGAGGGTGATTGACCGTCATCTTGAACTTCTTCCATTTTCTAATAATTGCACCAACAGTTGTTACCTTCTCACCAAGCTGCTTGCCTATTGTCCTGTAGCCCATACCAGCCTTGTGCAGGTCTACAAGTTTATCCCTGATGTCCTTACACAGCTCTCTGGTCTTGGCCATTGTAGAGAGGTTGGAGTCTGTTTGATTGAGTGTGTGGACAGGTGTCTTTTATACAGGTAACGAGCTCAAACAGGTGCAGTTAATACAGGTAATGAGTGGAGAACATGAGGGCTTCTTAAAGAAAAACGAACAGGTCTGTCAGAGCCGGAATTCTTACTGGTTGGTAGGTGATCAAATACTTATGTCATGCAATAAAATGCAAATTAATTACTTAAAAATCATACAATGTGATTTTCTGGATTTTTGTTTTAGATTCTGTCTCTCACAGTTGAAGTGTACCTATGATACAAATTACAGACCCCTACATGCTTTGTAAGTAGGAAAACCTGCAAAATCGGCAGTGTATCAAATACTTGTTCTCCCCACTGTGTATATATACAGTGGGGAAAAAAAGTATTTAGTCAGCCACCAATTGTGCAAGTTCTCCCACTTAAAAAGATGAGAGAGGCCTGTAATTTTCATCATAGGTACACGTCAACTATGACAGACAAATTGAGAAAAAAAATTCCAGAAAATCACCATTGTAGGATTTTTATGAATTTATTTGCAAATTATGGTGGAAAATAAGTATTTGGTCACCTACAAACAAGCAAGATTTCTGGCTCTCACAGACCTGTAACTTCTTCTTTAAGAGGCTCCTCTGTCCTCCACTCGTTACCTGTATTAATGGCACCTGTTTGAACTTGGTTATCAGTATAAAAGACACCTGTCCACAACCTCAAACAGTCACACTCCAAACTCCACTATGGCCAAGACCAAAGAGCTGTCAAAGGACACCAGAAACAAAATTGTAGACCTGCACCAGGCTGGGAAGACTGAATCTGCAATAGGTAAGCAGCTTGGTTTGAAGAAATCAACTGTGGGAGCAATTATTAGGAATTGGAAGACATACAAGACCACTGATAATCTCCCTCGATCTGGGGCTCCACGCAAGATCTCACCCAGTGGGGTCAAATTGATCACAAGAACGGTGCGCAAAAATCCCAGAACCACACGGGGGGACCTAGTGAATGACCTGCAGAGAGCTGGGACCAAAGTCACAAAGCCTATCATCAGTAACACACTACGCAGCCAGGGACTCAAATCCTGCAGTGCCAGACGTGTCCCCCTGCTTAAGCCAGTACATGTCCAGGCCCGTCTGAAGTTTGCTAGAGTGCATTTGGATGATCCAGAAGAGGTATGAGAGAATGTCATATGGTCAGATGAAACCAAAATAGAACTTTTTGGTAAAAACTCAACTCGTCGTGTTTGGAGGACAAAGAATGCTGAGTTGCATCCAAAGAACACCATACCTACTGTGAAGCATGGGGGTGGAAACATCATGCTTTGGGGCTGTTTTTCTGCAAAGGGACCAGGACGACTGATCCGTGTAAAGGAAAGAATGAATGGGGCCATGTATCGTGAGATTTTGAGTGAAAACCTCCTTCCATCAGCAAGGGCATTGAAGATGAAACGTGGCTGGGTCTTTCAGCATGACAATGATCCCAAACACACCGCCCGGGCATCGAAGGAGTGGCTTCGTAAGAAGCATTTCAAGGTCCTGGAGTGGCCTAGCCAGTCTCCAGATCTCAACCCCATAGAAAATCTTTGGAGGGAGTTGAAAGTCTGTGTTGCCCAGCGACAGCCCCAAAACATCACTGCTCTAGAGGAGATCTGCATGGAAGAATGGGCCAAAATACCAGCAACAGTGTGTGAAAACCTTGTGAAGACTTACAGAAACGTTTGACCTGTGTCATTGCCAACAAAGGGTATATAACAAAGTATTGAGAAACTTTTGTTATTGACCAAATACTTATTTTCCACCATAATTTGCAAATAAATTCATAAAAAATCCTACAATGTGATTTTCTGGATTTTCTTTTCTCATTTTGTCTGTCATAGTTGACATGTACCTATGATGAAAATGACAGGCCTCTCTCATCTTTTTAAGTGGGAGAACTTGCACAATTGGTGGCTGACTAAATACTTTTTTTCCCCACTGTATATATATATACACACACAGTCCCAGTCAAAACTTTGGACACACCTACTCATTCAAGGGTTTTTCTTTATTTTTTAAAAACTATTTTCTACATTGTAGAATAATAGTGAAGACATGTAAACTATGAAATAACACATATGAAATCATGTAGTAACAGAAAAAGGGTTAAACAAATCAAAATATATTGTATATTTGAGATTCTTCAAATAGCCACCCTTTGCCTTGATGACAGCTTTGCACACTCTTGGCATTCTCTTAACCAGCTTCATGAGGTAGTCACCTGGAATTAATTTCAAATAATAAGTGTGCCTTCTTAAAAGTTAATTTGTGTAATTTCTTTCCTTCTTAATGTGTTTGAGCCAATCAGCTGTATTGTGACAAGGTAGGGGGAGTATCCAGAAGATAGCCCTATTTGGTAAAATACCATGTCCATATTATGGCAAGAACAGCTCAAATAAGCAAAGAGAAACGACAGTCCATCATTACTTTAAGACATGAAGGTCAGTCAATACGGAACATTTCAAGAACTTTGAAAGTTTCTTCAAGTGCAGTCGCAAAAACCATCAAGCGCTATGATGAAACTGGTTCTCATGAGGACTGCCACAGGAATGGAAGACCCAGAGTTACCTCTGCTGCAGAGGATAAGTTCATTAGAGTTACCAGCCTCAGAAATTGCAGCCCAAATAAATGCTTCACAGAGTTCAAGTCACAGACACATCTCAACATCAACTGTTCAGAGGGGACTGTGTGAATCAGGACTTCATGGTCAAATTGATGCAAAGAAACCACTACTAAAGGACACCAATAATAAGAAGAGACCTGCTTGGGCCAAGAAACACGAGCAATGGACATTAGACCAGTGGAAATGTGTCCTTTGGTCTGGAGTCCAAATTTGAGATTTTTGGTTCCAACCGTCGTGTCTTTGTGAGACGCGGTGTGGGTGAACAGATGATCTCCGCATGTGTATTTCCCACCGTAAAGCATGGAGGAGGTGTTATGGTGTGGGGTGCTTTGCTGGTGACACCGTCTGTGATTTATTTAGAATTCAAGGCACACTTAAACAGCATGGCTACCACAGCATTCTGCAGTGATACGCCAACCCATCTGGTTTGGGATTAGTGTACAAAATAGTAAAAAAGAAAGAAAAACCCTTGAATGAGTAGGTGTGTCCAGACCTTTGACTGGTACTGTATATGTATTTATTTATTTATTTTATGTGTGTGTATTTACAGTTGAAGTCGGAAGTTTACATACACTTCGGTTGGAGTCATTAAAACTCGTTTTTCAATCACTCCACACATTTCTTGTTAACAAACTATAGTTTTGGCAAGTCGGTTAGGACATCTACTTTGTGCATGACACAAGTAATTTTTCCAACAATTGTTTATAGACAGATTATTTCACTTATAATTCACTGTATCACAATTCCAGTGGGTCAGAAGTTTACATACACTAAGTTGACTGTGCCTTTAAACAGCTTGGAAAATTCCAGAAAATTCATTTGAGTCAATTGGAGGTGTACCTGTGGATTTATTTCAAGGCCTAACTTCAAACTCAGTGCCTCTTTGCTTGACATCATGGGAAAATCAAAAGAAATCAGCCAAGACCTCAGACATTGTTTTTGTAGACCTCCACAAGTCTGGTTCATCCTTGGGAGCAATTTCCAAACGGCTGAAGGTACCACGTTCATCTGTACAAACAATCGTACGCAAGTATAAACACCATGGGACCACGCAGCCGTCATACCGCTCAGGAAGGAGACGCCTTCTGTCTCCTAGAGATGAACGTACTTTGGTGCGAAAAGTGCAAATCAATCCCAGAACAACAGCAGAGGACCTTGTGAAGATGCTGGAGGAAACAGGTACAAAAGTATCTATATCCACAGTAAAAACGAGTCCTATATCGACATAACCTGAAAGGCCGCTCAGCAAGGTAGAAGCCAATGCTCCAAAACCGCCATAAAAAAGCAAGAGTACGGTTTGCAACTGCACATGGGGACAAAGATCGTACTTTTTTGAGAAATGTCCTCTGGTCTGATGAAACAAGAATAGAACTGTTTGGCCATAATGACCATCGTTATGTTTGGAGGAAAAAGGGGGTACTTGCAAGCCGAAGAACACCATCCCAACCATGAAGCACAGGGGTGGCAACATCTCAAGACATCAGTCAGGAAGTTAAAGCTTGGTCGCAAATGGGTCTTCCAAATGGACAATGACCCCAAGCATACTTCCAAAGTTGTGGCAAAATGGCTTAAGGACAACAAAGTCAAGGTATTGGAGTGGCCATGACCTCAATCATATAGAAAATTTGAGGGCAGAACTGAAAAAGCGTGTGCGAGCAAGGAGGCCTACAAACCTGACTCAGTTACACCAGCTCTGTCAGGAGGAATGGGCCAACATTCACCCAATTTATTGTGGGAAGCTTGTGGAAGGCTACCCAAAACTTTTGACCCAAGTTAAACAATTTAAAGGCAATGCTACCAAATACTAATTGAGTGTATGAAAACTTCTGACCCACTGAGAATGTGATGAAAGAAATAAAAGCTGAAATAAATCATTCTCTCTACTATTATTCTGACATTTCACATTCTTAAAATAAAGTGGTGATCCTAACTGACCTAAGACAGGGAATTTTTACTAGGTGTCATGAATTGTGAAAAACTGAGTTGAAATGTATTTGGCTAAGGTGTATGTAAACTTCCTATTTCAACTGTATATATACACACACACACACACAGTATATTGCCCCGAGTGCTGTTAAACCATTGTACTGTGACGTTCTGGTCCAGCCTAATGCTGGACACAAAATATGTTGTAATTTTGACCTCAAGCCCTAAACTACAGAGCAAAACCACATCATGCATTTAAAGAGAGAAAGCATGCAAGGACCCCACAACACTCAGCACTGATGTGAACCCTGAGACAAAAGATAATCCCAAAATTCACATCATAATAAAATCTACAAGAAGTAGTCCTTGTCACGGCACCAAATCTATAAATCACCTGATTGTCCTGAATTATATAGAGAAGCAGTGTAAAGAGACATATAACCTTGATCAACACAAGGGACATGGTATGGTACAATGTATGGGCTAGGGTTACAAAATTCTGGCAATTTTCCAGGATTTCTGGAAACTGAATTCTGGATTTCTGGTAAAGTTACCAGAGTTTTGCAACCCTAGTACGGGCTTATCATATGTACTGGCAATAAACATGAAGGCCTTATTCAGCATTTGTCACAACACGATGCTCTCCAATAGGCCAAACACAGCATTTATCATGAGCAGGTGCTTCCTGAGATCAAAGGTATGATCCTCCATGATCATATAATAAGATCCATGGCTCTCTGGAGCCTGCTTTGTCCAGCTGTGAACCTTGAAAGAGGGTAAATGCAATACCTACCTGTACTGTACCTACCATCTAAAAGCTTCACCTGAATATAATCTGCTAAATTTAAACACGCTGAAAACTCAACCGCAACAAGTACTCATAATCTCTTCACTTACTTGGCAGTTTTAACAATATAAATATCATTACTGATATTTCTATCCTTTTAACCTAAATGCTACTATTACCGTTACTAAAACATACGTCATCAGCAACTCTATTAAAAAACATTATCTGACTAAAAACGTCCATACCCAGAGAGACACTTCTTCTACTCCCACTGATGTCCCCAACTAGCCTACACAGAACAAATGAATCATCACTGTCCCTCAAGGGGAGAGAAAAAGAGGCATAGTGTTGTCCAGGTCATTTCTTCATAACAATACTAATGAATTACAGTGAGTCCTGAAGGGGTTCCATACACACAGCTGCAATAATGGAGTACTTACAGCTGTATGCATAATTAATCAAAGGGAGAAGGCAAAGCAAGGAAGTCATTTCGTTGGGAGGATAAATAATTATCATTGATGCGGTACATTACATCTATCCATACGGTCATGTCAGTGGCTCCTTTCCTAATTCAAATGTTTGCTGCTTATCTGCATCACATCTCAGAGAACAACATTTCCAGAGGTAATATACAAGGGGTTTTATTCTGACCAGAATGAAAATAAAACAACTTGTTGGCTCCTTTGTGGGAATTTAAAAACGTTATAAGTAAAACATGTCACTACTGGAAGCCACTGTATCCATAGACCAAGACAAAAAAAAAAGATCCTTCTGAGCAGGCCATTAAGTAAAGGTAAAAGCCATTGAGACAGATGGGGATAGAAAAGTACATTCTGTTCACTCTCTCCGCAGACAGAGTTGTGCCTAGTGCATTTCCAATTAGTTCTGGAGATGGGAAACCGTCTGTCATTAGATAGCAATGGGAATCCTGGCCAAAAACTACGGATCAGAGGGAGGGTTTCCTTCTGTGGTTTTCATGGATATTGGAATACTTGGAGTAGTGAAGATACAATTAAACCAATATAGGGGAGAGATGGTGAGAGATTGAGAGAAAGAGAGTGAGGGAGGTGAGAGAGATTAAGATATGTACCGTACCTCTGGGCTCTTCCGGTTCTGAAGGATCTGTTTGTCTGTGTCCTTGTTTGCAAAGAAGCGAGTGCATCCTCTGTTCAAATACTGCAACATAGACAAGAATCAGCAAACAGCAGCAGATTGCATGGATCAATATACTGCAGTATGACATAGTTTTTACAACACCTAAAACATCTATTGAATATCCCATCAAATCGTATTTGTCACATGCGCCGAATACAACAGGTGTAGATCTTACAGTGAAATGCTTACTTACAAGCCATTAACCAACAATGCAGTTTTAAGAAAGAATACCCCCCCAAAATCCCCCAAAAATACAATATAAAATAATACGAAATAAAAGTAACAAATAATTAAAGAGCAGCAGTAAAAATAACAATAGCGAGGCTATATACAGGGGGAACCAGTACCGAGTCAATGTGCGGGGGCACCAGTTAGTCGAGATAATATGTACATGTAGGTAGAGTTATTAATTGACTATGCGTAGATAATAAACAGAGAGTAGCAGCAGCGTGGTGTACTGATGTGGTGTACTCCTCAATGCCATCGGAAGAATCCCGGAACATATTCCAGTCTGTGCTAGCAAAACAGTCCTGTAGCTTAGCATCTGCTTCATCTGACCACTTTTTTATTGACCGAGTCAGGAATCAGGAGGATAGAATTATGGTCAGAATGGCCAAATGGTTGCACATTTAACATGCTGGTAGAAATGAGGTAAAACAGATTTAAGTTTCCCTGCATTAAAGTCCCCGGCCACTAGGAGCGCCGCCTCTGGATGAGCGTTTTCCTGTTTGCTTATGGCCGTATACAGTTCATTGAGTGCGGTCTTAGTGCCAGCTTCGGTTTGTGATGGTTTAACATGATCGTCAACACATCACAGACACCATGCATGACCAGTTGCAATACGGGAAACTTAATGACTTTCGAAAGTCAAAGTAAAGTAATATATCCACATCACTGTCTCTGTGTGGACTCTAATACAGAGCCGTGAGCATTCACCATTGTTCACGGCAAATTGTTTATATTTGGCACAAAATACCTTTATCCCTCTCCGTATTTGCTTTTGTGCGACTTTTAATGACTTCTCAGTAGCCTGCTCTCTTCCTGCCTGTCACTAGAGATAGGCCTGATGATGAGCGCGACAACAACTTCCCAGGTGGGTAGGAGAGAAAAACAGAACAGAACAGAACCCGGTGGCTTATCTTGTTTTCTACGAGAGGAGTCATTCTCAGCTGAAACGGAACAAAGGTTTTCATTACAGAGATATGCCTTTGGGAGGATTCTGTATCTCTCACCCCCTTCCCCCTCCACCTCATTTTTTGTTTCCAGATCAGCAGAAAAAAAGTTAAAACAGATGAGACTATTACAGGAGGGTAGCTCGGTCAGGCAGAACTGCCTTGCTTACTGCCCAGAAGAATCGCATCACTGGACAGATAGAAATAAGAGCAGTACTGCAAATGACACACATTTTATGAGAATATGAGAGGGGAGATGTAGGCTACCTCCGGAGCCACGCTGAAATTATGTATGTATGTGTCAGCATTGAAGTTTGATTTACTTAAATCCTATATTTTCTCTGCAACTTCCTTTCTGTCTAGCTGCTCAAATCCAGTTTCAATTCAGGATCCATTAGATGCAAATCTGTACTGGATGTGAAAGAGAGGACATTTGACTTATCTGGGTGCTGTTGTTAATTCTATATTCTAATCTGCACCTCTCGCAGGATGTGCCTGAGCCCTCTAAAATTTCTGCCGAGAGCCAGGATCTCCAAACGTCAATAGTAATGTCCAAGTTGAATTGGATATCAGCAAAAATGTCACTGCAATTATCAATGCATCACTCCATTTGTATATCTCAATTACAGTGGACAATGTTGCTGTCAAGAGCTGGAGTCAAAGCACCTCATATTCCTGAGGCTGAGAGGGACCAGAGGCTGAGAGGGACCAGAGGCTGAAAGGGACCAGAGGCTGAAAGGGACCAGAGGCTGAAAGGGACCAGAGGCTGAAAGGGACCAGAGGCTGAAAGGGACCAGAGGCTGAAAGGGACCAGAGGCTGAGAGGGACCAGAGGCTGAGAGGGACCAGAGGCTGAAAGGGACCAGAGGCTGAGAGGGACCAGAGGCTGAAAGGGACCAGAGGCTGAGAGGGACCAGAGGCTGAAAGGGACCAGAGGCTGAGAGGGACCAGAGGCTGAGAGGGACCAGAGGCTGAAAGGGACCAGAGGCTGAAAGGGACCAGATGCTGAAAGGGACCAGAGGCTGAAAGGGACCAGAGGCTGAGCGGGAACAGACAGGGAACTTTAAAAGAGGGGCTCAATAGTGGACACAGCAGGAGGAGAGTTTTTACAACGTATCCACTCTGGAGGGACAAGACACATGGAACAAGGCTGGCCCGTAGGCCCCACTCACCCTGAAGGCGTCTGGGGATTCCAGGTGGAACTTGGTCCTGATGTCCTCGGAGGCTCCGGCACACAGCCGGTAGAAGATGTGGTAGTTCCTCTCCTCGTGGCTCTGCTGGCAGATCCTGGATTTCTCCAGCAGGTAGTGGGACACGAAGCCTCCCACCACAGTATTCTGAGTGACACAACAACACAGGTTCAATTAGCATCAGAACTGGGTTCAAATACTATTAGAAATCATTTTAAATATTTAAAGATGCAGTCTGGGATCTTAAGCACTTACAAATTTGTAAAATATTGCACAAATTGGAATTCGGAACATCTTATACGAATTGCTAAAAATATTAATTGAAATGGATGACATATTACTCAAAAGTACTGGCTGAAATTACACAAAAGCTCGAGAGCATCACTTTAAGCTGGGCTTTATTGAGCTTGCCTGGTGCAATGGAAATAACAGAAGTCTCAAAACAGTAATCTCCACCCATCTGGCACGCGATGCAAGCCAAAGCAGACAAAGTATTTGAAAGAATTGTCAAATCGTATTTGAACACTATTTTGGTGTTGTTGTCTGATGATTTCATTGATAGTGAATTATTCTACAGTGGTGCTGCTGTACCTTTTCGTTGAAGTGGATCTCTACAAACTTCCCAAAGCGACTACTGTTGTTATTCCTGACGGTTTTAGCATTCCCAAAAGCCTCTAGCAGGGGATTGGCTGTGGGATTGATGAAGAAGAATAGCAATTAAAACACAAATCCATACAGTGTGGTATTAGGTCATGCTGCTGGGAAGTGAAATTCATATTTACCTTCAACTATTCTCTCATCAATATCTTGACCTGTTCCATAGGATGTTGTCAAGTATCTACAGGGCAGAAAGAAAGAATCAGAGTTAATGGGGAAGTTCACCAACTTTTACATATGACCTTATTTTCACTCTTTCTGTTCTTGTAGTTGATCCCCCAAACCATTTTTATTTTATATTTTGTTTCGTTAGAGGTTGTCACATTTTGCTGAGTCATCAAAATGTGTCTACCAATTTCCTCTGTAATGAAAAATATATATAAAAAATAAAATAATAATAATAATAGGGATCAACTACAAATCTTATAAAGAGTGAAAATAAGTCTACAGGTAAAACTTTGTGAGCTTCCCCTTTAATGTGAATGTGAATACTCTCAGAACATACTTATTTTACATAAACAAGTACAAACAGCCTGCCAGATCAGACTGGGTATGCGTCCCAAATGGTACCCGCGTCCCTATATCAGGGTTCTTCAATTCCGGTCCTGGAGGGCCGAAACACCTCTGTTTTTCATCCTCTCCTTCTAATCAGGGGCTAATTCAGACCTGGGACACCAGGTGAGTGCAATTAACTACCAGGTAGAAATAAAAAACAGAAGTGTTTCGGCCCTCCAGGACCGGAATTGAAGAACCCTGCCCTATATAGTGCACTACTTTTGACTAGATCTGGTAAAAAAATTATGCACTACAAAAGGATTAGGGTGCCATTTGGGACACATCCTGTGTGTTGACGATACACAGGAAATGTCATGACTTTACCGGAGGACAAACTTGGTATTTTCAGTCTTCCCGGCACCAGACTCCCCGGACACGATGATGGACTGGCTCATCTTCAGCACCCTCATGTCCCTGTACGCCTTGTCAGCTGACACACAGAGACACACATCCAGACAGTGTTTACAGTTTGTTTACCCTCTCCTTTTTCTCAGTGACACAAAATGTATCTCAATGGGATCATAAATTAAGCCTATGGTTGCATTAGCCATGCAAACTGTACAATAAATGCTCCTTGTACTTCTAAATCACATGCTAGATGACACAGTATTTATTGTTTATCCTTTACCTCAGTGATATACAACTTCTCTGAATGGAATCCTCAAGACGATGCTCGCATTAGCAAAGTCAAACTGCACAATGAATGCTCATTGTTAATAGGTAGCTAAATCTCACTGATAAGCAAAGACTGAGAATACTGTGAAAATGACTATAGACTGCTCTCTGGTGGACAGATGTGGAAGTGTAACACAGCCCAACAGTGGCACAGAGAGACATTGTGTTTGCGTCCCAAATGGCACCCTATTCCCTACATAGCGCACTACTTTTGACCAGAGCCCAATGAGCACTGCTCAAAAGTAGTGCACTACGTAGGGAATAGGGTGCCATTTGGAACGCAGCCTGTGTGTTCCTTCCTCAGCAGTTCTCACCAATAGCATAGACGTGGGGCGGCAGGGTGCCCAGGGACCTCCCATGGTACTGTTTAATGGTCTCTGGAGTGTAGAGCTTCGGGATGTCATAGTAGGGGTTCACTGCTATCAGGATATTAGCTACAAACGTCTGGGAGAAAAACAAAGAGAAGTCAGAAATACACTAGTACACTTATAGGAATCTGTTTTTAGCAAGACGCTGTACTTAAAAATACACATCCAATGCTGTTGGAGAGAAAACTTGTGTTGATATAACACCCAGCTTTTTCTCAGTGACCTAACAAAACACTGCTAAAAGGAATTAACACATTGATATCTGCCTAACACTCTTCCATTGGACAAAGCAGGCAGTTCCTCACTGCAGCCACTAGATGCCACCTGTTGGAAAACAAGTGTCCCATCGGTCTCCTCTCCGCACCTGCTGGCATCCACGTCCCTCTGCCTCCCACTGTCACCTCAGAGGACCTAATTAAGTTCAGTGGGGAAAAAGATAGCGCTCCCTGGCTCTGTTCTGCTCCCTGGCTGATTACAGAGGTCACCTGAGCCTGGGTTGGACACAGGTGCCAGCAGTGAGACAGTGACAACAAGAGCTAGCTGTGTGTGTGTGCCACTGTAACTGCCCTCCCTCCCAGCAGACACCTGGCAGCCCAGAGTGACAATGACAAGGCCATCACGCCCTGGCCATCACACTGACAAGCAGGGAGGGAGGGGACACACCACACCACAACACATACAGTACAGTAGGCACAGAGAGACTGAAGTGGCAGGGCTGTAGCATGATAATGATGAGTGGGTGTTCTATTGACATCACCCGTGCTGGTTCAACCTGTGGCCTGTTCACCATGGTGCACAGCTGTTTAAAACCAGATTGATGAGGCAGACAGCAGGATATACAGTGGGGAAAAAAAGTATTTAGTCAGCCACCAATTGTGCAAGTTCTCCCACTTAAAAAGATGAGAGAGGCCTGTAATCTTCATCATAGGTACACGTCAACCATGACAGACAAATTGAGAAAATGTTTTTAATGAATTTATTTGCAAATTATGGTGGAAAATAAGTATTTGGTCACCTACAAACAAGCAAGGTTTCTGGCTCTCACAGACCTGTAACTTCTTCTTTAAGAGGCTCCTCTGCCCTCCACTCGTTACCTGTATTAATGGCATCTGTTTGAACTTGTTATCAGTATAAAAGACACCTGTCCACAACCTCAAACAGTCACACTCCAAACTCCACTATGGCCAAGACCAAAGAGCTGTCAAAGGACACCAGAAACAAAATTGTAGACCTGCACCAGGCTGGGAAGACTGAATCTGCAATAGGTAAGCAGCTTGGTTTGAAGAAATCAACTGTGGGAGCAATTATTAGGAAATGGAAGACATACAAGACCACTGATAATCTCCCTCGATCTGGGGCTCCACGCAAGATCTCACCCCGTGGGGTCAAAATGATCACAAGAACGGTGAGCAAAAATCCCAGAACCACACGGGGGGACCTAGTGAATGACCTGCAGAGAGCTGGGATCAAAGTAACAAAGCCTACCATCAGTAACACACTACGCCGCCAGGGACTCAAATCCTGCAGTGCCAGACGTGTCCCCCTGCTTAAGCCAGTACATGTCCAGGCCCGTCTGAAGTTTGCTAGAGTGCATTTGGATGATCGAGAAGAGGATTGGGAGAATGTCATATGGTCAGATGAAACCAAAATAGAACTTTTTGGTAAAAACTCAACTCATCGTGTTTGGAGGACAAAGAATGCTGAGTTGCATCCAAAGAACACCATACCTACTGTGAAGCATGGGGGTGGAAACATCATGCTTTGGAGCTGTTTTTCTGCAAAGGGACCAGGACGACTGATCCGTGTAAAGGAAAGTATGAATGGGGCCATGTATCGTGAGATTTTGAGTGAAAACCTCCTTCCATCAGCAAGGGCATTGAAGATGAAACGTGGCTGGGTCTTTCAGCATGACAATGATCCCAAACTCACCGCCCGGGCAACGAAGGAGTGGCTTCGTAAGAAGCATTTCAAGGTCCTGGAGTGGCCTAGCTAGTCTCCAGATCTCAACCCCATAGAAAATCTTTGGAGGGAGTTGAAAGTCCGTGTTGCCCAGCGACAGCCCCAAAACATCACTGCTCTAGAGGAGATCTGCATGGAGGAATGGGCCAAAATACCAGCAACAGTGTGTGAAAACCTTGTGAAGACTTACAGAAAACGTTTGACCTGTGTCATTGCCAACAAAGGGTATATAACAAAGTATTGAGAAACTTTTGTTATTGACCAAATACTTATTTTCCACCATCATTTGCAAATCAATTCATAAAAAATCCTACAATGTGATTTTCTGGATTTTTTTTTCTAATTTTGTCTGTCATAGTTGACGTGTACCTATGATGAAAATTACAGGCCTCTCTCATCTTTTTAAGTGGGAGAACTTGCACAATTGGTGGCTGACTAAATACTTTTTTTCCCCACTGTAGCTATGTCTGTTATAAAGTACTTACATAAATTTTATCTTTACTATACCGCACACGGACGTTGTTCAAGAGAGTGGCTTCATTCAAGTACATCAAAGAACCTGAAAAACAACAGACCTAAAGTAAGTTAAGACAGGCTAATCACAAACTTTCAAAAGAAGAGGATGGATCAAAATGGAAAACACATAAGAACATATTGCCACAAAATGGCATTCCTCAATCCTCAGGGGAATCATTTGCATCGGGCGACAGTTTCAGGGTTGTAATTTACTTCATAACTTCATATAGTGCTGTAAAAACACTTAAGTGTCAGTTAGGGTAGCTTTATGAGATGGTGAGAAACATAAAAACCTTGTGGATACTGAAGACTTATGGTAAAACAATAGCAGTGTTTGTGCTATAAACTCACAGTTGTCTTCCACATGTTTGTTGACATCATCCTCAGCCGGGAACACTTGGTTGATCTGGGCCGTAAAGCTCTGTAAAAACAAGATGGAGGTGAAAGATGACTTTTAGCACGTCACTATGCTGGCACTATGCTGTTCTCTTTCTAATGTATAAGAGTTGAAGAGTGGGCAACTACATCAAGTACACGTGGCTTAGAACATTAAACAAAGGAGAGAGAAAGGAGAAAATAAAAATAATTAAGTCTATTTGGATTCCAATCAATGTGCTTGCTTTTAATTATATAAATCAGGAGTCTTTTCAAGTCTGTCAATGTGTTATTTTTGCACTCCCAACGAGCTACTAAAAATAGTGACTGTTCGGAGGCCATTGCTTCAATCAAACAGAACCAACAGCAGGAGGAGGCCCTGGCGTACGCAGCAGTGAGTGACACATCAGGGGACAATTAATTATTTGGAGAGGCAGAAACAGGATCTGGGGGCTGGGAGGTTGCTAGAGAGGCGGAGTCTGGCTGAAAGCTGCAGCCCCTCCCCTCTTCTGGCTCACGGTCATCGGTCAGCACCTCCACTGCAGAGTACAGCCACCATGTATTATTCACTAGCATTCTCAGCACACATGCATGGCCCAGGAAAAACAATACAGCTAGCCAAGTGTTGTGAGGCTGGAGCTAGTTTGGCATTAGTAGGGTGTGTGTATGTGTGTGTTACTCATAGCACGTGTTTATGGTAAAAACATTTGGTGAGCGCTATGGGTTATTTCGGAATCCTAAAAGCGTCTCAAAGCACATTGCGATTGCAAGTTAGCGTGACTCCGTGTGTGAGACAAAACCAACGGGTTAGTCTGGCTGATGAGTTCTACTAGTCCCTCCCTCTCTCCACCCCTCCCTCCCTCTCTCCATCCCTCCCTCCACAGCTCTCTCTCCCTCTCTCTCCCCCTCTTCCGTCCCTACCTCCCTCTCTCCATCCCTCCCTCCCTCTCTCTCCCATCCCTCCCTCCACAGCTCTCTCTCCCCCTCTCTCTCTCTCCCCCCTCTCTCTCCACCCCCTCCCTCCCTCCCTCTCTCCATAGCTCTCTCTCCCTCTCTCTCTCCACCCCTTCCCTCCCTACCTCCCTCTCTCTCCACCCCTCCCTCTCTCTCTCTCCACCCCTCCCTCTCTCCCTCTCTCTCTCTCTCTCTCTCCACCCCTCCCTCCCTCCACTTTCCATTAAGTCCCAGGGGAGCTTGAGAAGTTACCGCTTGAAAGAAAACACGGTCACATGCTTCTGATTTGTCACAAAAACAAACTCTGTGTAAAAAGTCCACACTAAGGGGGTAGCTAAGTTGATAGCGACATCAAAGAAATACATAGTTTATCCCCATGTTTTCAAAGTTAGCTAATCCAGTCCACAGCCCTAACCCCTGGTCAAAAGTAGTGCACTATGTAGGGAAAAGGGTACCATATGGGACGCACCCAGCCAGAGCCTGCTCCCTCCTGTGGGCCATAGGGCCCTGCTCCCTCCTGTGGGCCATAGGGCCCTGCTCCCTCCTGTGGGCCATAGGGCCCTGCTCCCTCCTGTGGGCCATAGGGCCTGCTCCCTCCTGTGGGCCATAGGGCCCTGCTCCCTCCTGTGGGCCATAGGGCCCTGCTCCCTCCTGTGGGCCATAGGGCCCTGCTCCCTCCTGTGGGCCATAGGGCCCTGCTCCCTCCTGTGGGCCATAGGGCCCTGCTCCCTCCTGTGGGCCATAGGGCCCTGTTGGCCTCTGCTGGGTCAGCAATTTAGGCAGTGTCTCAAATAGCACTCTATTCCATTACCCTATTCCATATGTAGAGCACTACTTTTGAAAGTATTGCACTATATAGGGAATAGGGTGCTATTTGGGATGTGGCCTTAGTCTCTCCAAATAAAGAGGCACTGCAAGAGGGTTTTAAAATCTCCAAGGTTGAAGAAGCCAAGGTGACATACAGTCAGTTCATTATTTCCTGCAATGGAATGTATCACATTCTGGGCCCAAACTGGCAGGATTTCATAGCACTGGGCCACGTGAGGTGACTGAAGGCAAGAGGAGAGGGGGAGAAGGAAGGGGATGTGGAGGAGGATGACGCAATGCCCCCTGAATTTAAACACGCCCCTCCCCCCTCGGTCTCTCACTCTTTCACCGACACCACGGCAGAGTGAAACAGTGCAGAAACTATCAGCGTCCCAAATGGCAACCTATTCCGTTTATAGTGCAATATTTTCAACCAGGGCTCATACGGCTCCGGTCTAAAGTAGTGTACTATATAGGGAATAGGGTGCCACTGGGGACGCAACCCCAGTCTGGGACACATTACCTAACGCTGTGGGCCACAGAGTCTGCCATTGTGGCTAAAGCTGTGAGTGTGACGTGGTGTCATGCACTGAGCAGCCCCTCTCTCCTGAAGTCCCCCTACAGGGGTCTGCCAGGCTGCGTATGCTGCTGCTGCTCTGAAAGGGTGACAAGGGAGCTCGCCGTACACTGGCACAAACTGGCTGCCGCCGGACAGAACACACATTGTGCCCCTCACACTCCCTGTTAGGGCCCAGAACTGACCATAACGGCCGGAGAAAGGACACATCCGTTACACACACACACACACCCGTTACACACACACACTCACACACACACACACAGCTTCCTTCATAATAAAGGATCTGACAGAGTCCCATGCTTTATGGGCCGGATGTAAACACACTAAGTGAGCAGATTGTTAGAGGAAGACATTCAACTGATGACAAAGCCACACAAGGAAGCATGAGTTACCATAGAAACTAGGTTTGGCTAACATCAAGAGCTTTGCACAGAGTGTAACACATGATCTAGCCTAGTGGAAAAGTGAATTAGCAGTGACTGGTGGCTTCTATGGGAAAGCACTCTGTAGGTCACCCTCTGTAGGTCACCCTCTGTAGGTCACCCTCTGTAGGTCACCCTCTGTAGGTCACCCTCTGTAGGTCACCCTCTGTAGGTCACCCTCTGTAGGGCAGCTTTTCTAGCATGAGAGGTACTTTTAAAAAAATGTAACATGTCGCAAGCTACACATTTTTTACTAGCTTTCAAATAGGCACATTCTTCTCTTCTCCTCTCCCCTGCAACTCTTCCCCGGGTCCTTATTGTACAAGAGAAAAGAGCGTACTATCAATATACCTGGTAAAATAATGGTTAATAAACAACTCTAAGGGGGGACCTATAAAATGTTTGCAAATAACAAATAATAGATACAAAATAATATACTTCTGTCAGGTTAGCCTACTTTGCAATTAACATTTAATTGAGAAGGTTTTGGGGAAACTATTTCTGTCAACCCACAAGATGGTCATCACATCAACTGGCTACGCATTGAGTGATAGACAAACGCACACACGCACCACACAGACGGACTGTTACTGGAAATGATTTAGCAGTACCCCGTGTAGCTCAGTTGGTAGAGCATGGCGCTTGCTTGCAACGCCAAGGTTGTGGGTTCGATTCCCATGGGGTACCATGGGTTGGGATACTGTCAATGTTGCGTTGATTAGATAGTAGCAGATACTTGTGAGATTTGTTTATGACAGTTTGCTGTGGAACGTGAAAATTGCATGTACTTTCAGAATTGTTTGGCGAGCTGCTCATAGGTGGGCTGCCAACTACTGGTAGCTGTGGATGGACCTGTTGGAGACCCCTGATCTACAGGGTGCCGTCTACAGCAGGGTTCCCCAACTAGCACCCCGCGGGTGGTTTTCATTTTCGGAGCAAAAATAAATACAATTGTTGATTTTTTTGAATTTTCATTGTTGGACATAAAATACTGTAAAAACACCAGGAAATCAGCTCCAAGTGATTTTCATTTTGTTATCGTGTTATCGTATACAAATGTAAGCAAGGTTTGAAATGATTATGTTTTAGTCAAATATATCTGTTGGTCAAATATATCTGTCAAGAAAAAAAATAGAAAAAAATCAGCCAGCGGCTGAATCTAGTTGATGATCCCTGATCTACAGGGTACCATCTATAGGGTCCCATCTACAGGGTACCATCTGTAGGGTACCATGTATAGCCCTCAAACGCAACTCTGGTCCTTGAAGCCAGTTACAGTGCTTTTTTTCATTGTTCCCCCTCTAATCAGGGACTGATTTAGGGTGCAATTAATTACCAGGAAGAACAGAAAACCATCACGCTCCGGACTTCGTAGGGTAAGAGTTGAGTACCCTTGATCTATAGGGTACCATCTATAGAGTTTCGGAAGCAGATGTTTCACTGATGGCCTCCACACCACACCATTATGTAAATTATCTGGGTGGAAAATGTTATAGCGATCATAGAAGTCTGTTTTTGCACATGCGTGTGTGATCACCCACCTTCTGCCCCTGTTTAAGCGGCTCGATAGTCAAGCTGTCTGCTCCTATGTCCACTATGGTCCCCAGCTGGAACCCATCTGCTGGGTGGGGCGCCCACACCGGCTTCCCATCCTCCATGACACTGCAAGACAAGAGGACAGTCACAGGGGACCGTTAGAGGCTGGTTCCTTTCCTAAAGCCATCAAACAGTTATTACATTTAATTCACACAATAAAAATGTAATTTATCCCTGAGGGGCAATTAGCCTACAAGTTATTACAAATGTACAGGCTAGCACTTCACATATGAAGACAAGAGATCAAGTACAATTGTGTATGGAATGGTTAATACTCACTCCCAGTATGTTTGAGAGTTTAATGGCCTATATATTTTGAAATCCTCTTTTCAGGGTGCTTGCTTAATTTCATCACTGGCACTAGACTAGTACCGAAATGGCACCCTATTCCCTTTATAGTGCACTACTTTTGACCAGGGCATTTGGGGCGCACCCTAATTGTAGAGTATCTGTAGCCTACCCTAAGCAGATGAGCAGCACACCAGCAGACTCACGTTAAACACATTCTAATGGGCCTTGCTGTAGCCAGGTCTCCAATAATCATGTTGTTGAGTCCAACCACCAGCTGATCCTGTTCCTGTGGTGAGATTACAGTAGAGTAGAAGGAGCAGCCTAGCACCCCTCAGGGAAATCTGCAGACACCCCAGGCTGTTGTGTTGTGTATTGTACATAGCCTAAAGACAGGCCACAAACGACTTCAACGTGTAGGCCTAAGTCTGGGCCAAAACAACTCTGACGTAAGACCCCATAGAGCAGCGTTTCCCAAACTCGGTCCTAGGGACCCCAAGGGGTGCATATCTTTTTTTTTGCCCTAGCACTAAACAATATTTTGTTCTTGCTAGGTAGCGTAAGCTAGCCCTAATCGGCTGTACCTGTGCCAAAACTCTGCTAATTTTCATCCTATAGCTTGTTCTCCATCTTCTTTTTAAATAGTGAGCCAACATGATTTCAGCACTGTTATTCCCCTGACTGAGCTTTCTCATGCTCTCTCTGCAGCAGACATATAGTGAACAATATATTTGAACATTAAATCAGAATGAAATCGCAGTATCAAATCGCAACACATATATCGGCACCTAAGTATCGTGATAATATCGTATCTTGAGGACCCTGGCAATTCCCAGCCGTAAGATTAGTGGCACACTGGAGCCGGATTCCCGCATTTAAGTTTCTACAACTCAGAGTTTGTTCCAGATAGGGGTCCGTTGACCGATAATTGAGACACAAAGCTGTAGAGTTTGGCCAGGTCCCAGAACACAGCCTGGGTTCAAGGGTGATTTTCAATGCTCAATTATCAATTATTCAGGTCATGCTTTGGGAATCGCTTACTATGCACCACAATCGCCTTATTCTCTCTCTACACAAACACCCCACGTTAAAATATAGGTGCCGCTGCCACTCAAATAACTATGTTAATATGAAACGCAAACAAACTCAATGAGTGAAATGTAGGCCTAAGCCTAGTTTGTTCAGTAACTCCACAGGGGTTTTCCATCTGGTGAAACAATGGAATAGCTAGGACCTGAACAACTTGGCACTGACAGAGCCTTAGTACAGACTGTGTTTCCAGAAGTGACAAACTAATAGGCCTGGTCATGTTTATGCTTTTTTCACTTCACTAAGTGGTGTGCTGATCCTATTAGCCTACTAAAAAGGGTGAGATCATGAATAATAATAGAACACATTCATTTTCTTGTTACAAGCAGAGGAAAACTAGTAAAGCCAACCAAATGATGTCTAGGGCTATTCACAATGTTACTGGCCACAACAACAAACGATTCAACTAGTCTACATGGATGCTTGCCTACAAGCTTATAGTTATTTTTGGCTGGTAATCAAAGTGGAACAAACTTCATAATGCTGGAGAGTTTTTAATGTGGACCTTCATTCATAATAACCTCTATAAAAATTATGCACTGTGCCAAGAACTGACTGGGTCTTTGCTTTTCACATCATCCTAAAATAAGCCAAATTCAATAATACCCAAAATATCATTTCATATAATCATCCATTCAAACATAGAACTCTCCATGCCTCAGCAGCATAGAAGGCTCTCACTAAGATTCCAGGAATGTCCCTTTATCCAATCAGGTGTAACAAAACATAGGTCAAAGGTTGCTAGTAACTTATTGGCTGGGCTGTAAAAGTCACCAGCCAATGTAAGTACTACACATCACATCCTCATGCTGAGGTGTAATTCTATCTGAATATACTATCAAATTAAATCAAAGTTCATTGGTCACGTACACAGACTTGCAGATGTTATCGCAGGTGCAGCGAATGCTTGTGTTTCTATTTCCAACAGTGCATTAATACAAAACAATACACACATTAAAAAAAAGTAAAAAGAAAGAAATTAAGAAATATCAGAACGAGCAATGTCAGAGAGCATTAGTGAGGTTGGGCACTGATGTTAGTCGATTAGGCCTGGCTCGCAGTCGGCATTCCAATTCATCCCAAAGGTGTTCGATGGGGTTGAGGTCAGGGCTCTGTGCAGGCCAGTCAAGTTCTTCCACACCGATCTCGACAAACCATTTCTGTATGGACCTCGATTTGTGCATGGGGGCATTGTCATGCTGAAACAGGAAAGGGCCTTCCCCAAACTGTTGCCATAAAGATGGAAGCACAGAATCGTCTAGAATGATATTGTATGCTGTAGCGTTAAGATTTCCCTTCACTGGAACTAAGGGGCCTAGCCCGAACCATGAAAAACAGCCCCAGACCATTATTCCAACTTTACAGTTGACACTATGCATTGGGACAGGTAACATTCTCCTGGCATCCGCCAAACCCAGATTCGTCCGTCGGACTGCCAGATGGTGAAGTGTGATTCATCACTCCAGAGAACGCGTTTCCATTCCTTCAGAGTCCAATGGCGGTGAGCTTTACACCACTCCAGCCAACGCATGGCATTGCACACGGTGATCTTAGGCTTGTGTGCGGCTGCTCGGCCATGGAAACCCATTTCGTGAAGCTCCCGACGAACAGTTCTTGTGCTGATGTTGCTTCCAGAGGCAGTTTGGAACTCGGTAGTGAGTGTTGCAACCGAGGACAGACGATTTTTACGCGCTACATGCTTCAGCATTCGGTGGTCCCGTTCTGTGAGCTTGTGTGGCCTACCACTTCGCGGCTGAGCAGTTGTTGCTCTTAGATGTTTCCACTTCACAATAACAGCACTTACAGTTCACCGGGGACAGCTCTAGCAGGGCAGAAATTTGACGAAATGACTTGTTGGAAAGGTGGCATCCTTTGATGGTGCCACTTTGAATGTCACTGAGCTCTTCAGTAAGGCCATTCTACTGCCCATGTTTGTCTATGGAGATTGCATGGCTGTGTTCTCGATTTTATACACCTGTCAGCAACAGGTATGGCTGAAATAGCCGAATCCACTAATTTGAAGGGGTGTCCACATACTTTTTTATATTTAGTGTATATACAGTGAGTGTACAAAACATTAGGAACACATTCCATGACAGAGTGCTCTTTTCATGACAGACTGACCAGGTGAATCCAGGTGACTCCAGGTGACAGCTATGATCCCTATTGATGTCACCTGTTAAATCCACTTCAACAAGTGTAGATGAAGGGGAGGAGACAGGTTAAAGAAGGATTTTAAGCCTTGAGACAATTGAGACATGGATTGTGTATGTGCCATTCAGAGGGTGAATGGGCAAGACAAAATATTTAAGTGCCTTTGAACGGGGTATGGTAGTAGGTGCAAGGCACACCGGTTTGTGTCAAGAACTGCAATGCTGCTGGGTTTTAGTGGTGACTGTTTACTAGGTATTCTTTATTATCTGTCCATAATATCTCACTACCCCTGGCCAATAACGGTACAGCACCTGGCCAACGTCACTCTGACCAGTTTCCCCGATACTAAGACACGTGACATCAGCGCTGATGATGCAGGATCATTTGAATAGTGTGTCAAAGCTTCATTCCTGAAACCACATCAGGATCAGTGGAGGCTGCTGAGGGGAGAACGGCTCATAATAATGGCTGGAACGGAGCAAATGGAATGTCATTAAACCATGTGTTTGATGCCATCCCACCAATACCGCTCCAGCCATTACCACGAGCCCGTCCTCCCCAATTAAGGTGCCACCAACCTCCTGTGATCAGGATATAAGGTCAATATCCAACATCCCTCCTGGCTTCCTGATAACACGTTCATCGGTCTCTTATCAAATTAACCCAGTTAGATATTACTTTTGCACATTTCCATGCTGTCATTCAAGGTGTGGTGGTGGTGGTGTTCTTAATTCAGTAGAAACTGAATGCAATCCAGTTTGCATTTCAAGATTACTAGAATAGCTACTATTACTAGGCCACAAGTAAATATGTGGATGCAAACAAAAAGTGTGCCCACCCACCCTTAACGTAGCAGCCTACTGACATTAACCAAATGTGTTACTAGAACTGCCTTGGAGAGCCATGCAGAGCAGAGCAGAACAGGGCGAAGCAAGACTGAACCTGACACCCACCCACAGCAGCCTACACTGAACATCTGACAGTGCAGCTTCAATAGAATGATTGAAGGTTCAAAGTTCACCTAAAAATACATGTAGGCCCAAGTGTTCACAAGCAGAATTGCTGTCACATTCTAGTTAGTAGCCTAAGGCACCATGGCAAAGGTATTTACTGTCAGAGAGCCTTTACAGGGCTACCTGGCATACCCAATGCATGGTGATTATCATATCAAATCAAATATCCATCTGACTCTGTCTGCGTCCCAAATGGCATCCTATTCCCTATATAGTGCATATTATTTTGACCAGAGCCCTGTAGCCCTGGTCAAAGGTAGTGCACTATAAAGGAAATACAGTGCCATTTGGGATGCAGCCTCTGTTTATATGATGGTAATACAGTATCACGCCTGATCATGCGATTACCACACGCCGTTCTGGAGCGAGTAGGCTAGGAGTTGCTTCTTCTCTTTATCCAGGCAATCAACTCAAAGATTGCCACTTTTGGGGCACATTAGGTGTGCCAGTCAATCTTCACAGCTCACACTATTGCTCAATAACTAATGTAGGCACTCAGGCACATCTGAAATAGTTTGAGCAACGTGCATTTGAAGGAAATGTGTTTCCAATCACTGGGCAGAGGAATGGGCACACACACAGTTGTTTGCTTGGCCTTGTGACAAGGGCCATAGTCCCAAATGGCACCCTATTCCCTATGTAGGCCTAGTGAACTACTGGCCCATAGGGCTCTGTTAAAATGGGAAACATAGAAGCCATTTTCACAGGAAAGGGATTTTTTAGCGTGACGTGCTGGCTGAGCACACCTGGCCTTTACAACGTTGCGTAACAAGGAGGTATTTGCTTATTAGATCACGTGCCACATCTTTTTGAATTTACACATGCAAATAAATTTCACTATGAAGACATCGTTTGTTCTGACATGCAGCAGATCTCTCTCTCTCTCTCAAAAGTATTTGATCCCCTGCTTATTTTGTATGTTTGCCCACTGACAAAGACACAATCTGTATATACTTTTAATGGTAGGTTTATTTGAACAGTGAAAGACAGAATAACAACAAAAAAATCCTGAAAAACACGTCAAAAATGTTAT